TGTACTTTGGCAGCAGTAAGGAAAGGCGACCAATCAGGATGCTGAACGTGACCTTGTCCTCAAAAAAGGTAGGTACCGTGGGCAGACCGGTATGATGCTGTCTGTAGCGGTACCGATTTCGTAGTTCCACCGTGGCATGGCTTCTTCCTCATTGATGTCAACATCTTGTCGTCAGAAGAAGGGAGCCAGCTGCAAATTCTTTGATTCTTTGTCAATTCCCAGACTCAAGAGTGGGGTTGACCGCTAGGGACTTCCCCACACATGTGCATCCGCTCCTATTCAGGACGAGTGAATACGGGCTCTTGGTCAGCTGAGCACAGTTTCCAGGCGGCTTTGATTGCCTGAAAGCACGTCGTCACGCCCAGTGTGAAGCAGAGAGCAGCTGGGTGCAATGGCATGCGCGGGTGCTGCTGCAACTGCACCGTTAGGTATCTCCACGTTTGAGAAACGTGCGAGCTGGTCTGGAATGCAGGCGGACAGTCAATGCCACACGTCAAGCGTCGCTAGGCTGTGTGTGGTGTTCTCCAGAGAAAGCAGCTGGTTGTCTGCAGCTTTGTTGAGGAGTAAAACGTGCAGGGAGCGACAAACGCTGTGTTCTTGTGTAGATAAAAGCCAATTCGCAGCAACTTTCAGCTCCGGAAGGCCTCCGCCAGACAGCCGAAGAGGGCAGAAATGGCTGGGGAGGACACAAGCGCAATTGGCAACGTCGGAAGCAGCTGAGACTGAACGATTTGACAGCCAATGTTCCGAATTGGTGGGATCTCTGGACAGGTTTCCAGGTCGGTGGCGGTTGCTCAGTGATTGTTTTTTGATCCAAACAGGAGCAGCTTCTCACTTCCGTGGCCCAGAATGTGCCAGAGACGAGTGTCCAATGAATGAGACTTGTTTAAGAAGGTGCTAGTCTGGTCTTCATTCAGTGGCCAAGGGTAGTCTGATTGGCGATGAGTTGATATGATCCCCTGTTTAGGGTCTACTTTTCTTCATTGCTTTGGTGGGTCAAGTCAGCTTAGATTCAGAGTGAACTGCCTCTTGAGTGGAAGAGGTTTACTGCGTGTTGCTTGGAAGGAGTCTGAGCCATGAAGTCAAGCTGAGTCACAGCACCACCAAGCGCTCCTTAAGAAGGCTTAGACAAGGAGCTCCAGTGTAGACAACCATGGTTGTCTGAGCAGAAAGGTATCTCTCTGAACCGATCCTGTCCTGTGGCAGTACACGAAAGAAAGTTGACCCTCAACTCATAAGCACAGCTGCTTATTGTTGTCGCAGATGACCGTCTGCAAAAGGTGGCCCACCCGTCCGCCACCCCCCTCCTCTTCCTTGAGCACATTCAGTACCAGTGGAAGACGCTGCAAGAAAGGGTGCCGGACCTAGCGGACCTGCCACTGCCCCCCGAGATCGCCCTCCAGACGAGCGCCAAAGGGAAGTGTGGGGCTAGAGTTGAGAACTGGGCGTTCCAGTCGGACACAATGAGGAGAGTGCGCATGACCTACTTCTACAGTGGGGACGGGGGGCAAGCTTACAACTGCCTAGTCTATCCAGATACGAGGTGAGGAACGAACCACTTTCATTGATGAAACTGTTTGCTAAAGATTCCTTGATCCTGAAGAGTTTTCAGATGGTCAACTTTGAAGAGCAGATGAAGAACCTGTCTGTTGCTTACGACACGTATAGCCATCACAGCAGGACCCTTCAGTCCCTGGCGCCAATAATCTTCCAGTCTGATAAAATCTGCTCTTTCAGAGACAGCACTCTCGTCTCGGTCCTCGGTATCTGGCTTCCTAATTCTTGTATGTGGCAGGAAGTACCACAGACTGGAAGCGCGGCCACCTTATCAGTACTTCGCTCTGCGTTTCCATGCAGATTTGACGTGCCTTTACTAGGAGTCGACCTGATTTGCCTTGGGAAAGACCGCATCCTGTATGTCATCGATTTCCAGCCCCTACAAATGTCAGACGACTACTTGGTGAGCCCACCGTTTCCTGCAATATCCATCTTCAAGTGGCTCGCAGCGTCTGTGGGCTGCTGCCCAGTCTCTTGTAGTACCTTAAGCGTGCTTGAGCGCGCGCAGGTCCATTGCGGAACCAGATTGAGGGCCCGCTCAGCGTGATTCCTTCGAGTGCAGTTTCATGGAGATGGCACACTAGTGCATCGTCTCCCAAAACGCTATTTACTTTTTGGCAATGCCATGCGAACAGTGAGGAGCGCGATTGGGGCGTCTTTTAGAAGAGCGCCGCTGCTTTGCATCTCCTTTCTTGCGGTGAAGTTTATCACATCCAACGACAATCGCACTTTCTAATGGTGCCTCGATTTTCTGGTTACTGCGTTTGAAAAGAAAGCGCCACGGTCTTGCGGTTTTGTGCTTACTGTACTTTCCAACACCTTCATAAACGATGAGACGATCTATCGGTTCCTCACAAATCTTGGGGCACTGTCTTCAGGAGAAGTACACGGCAATCCTGGCCCCCGTCCACGAGCAGTACCTGGACCTGATCGGGAGCATGTCTGCGAAGCACTTCGACGAGGCCCAATTCTTCTCGAAGCGCATGCTCTTTGTGCGCACCGCCGACACTGACCTCTTCAAGGTGAGCCCTCGTGTTCCTTTCTCGAACCACGAGATTTCCAAAGGAGCGCACTTCCTTCGTCCTGTACAGGCCCCACGTGCTGCACTCGTGTCAAAAAATCATCGACCTTCGTTCGGGTATGAGAAACGGAGCCCGACCTTGATCGTTCTCGTCCTCAGAAGCAAAGCAAGGAGTCGTTCGCGTTTCGGTTGCATCGACTGGAGAGTGACTTTCATTCTGGAACGAGGCAGCATTAGCAGGATCCTCTGGGACGAAGAAACTATCAGAGCAGCCGAGGCTTACTCCCATTTCGATTTTGTATTGGGCACTTTGCGAAAGTCAGACTTAGAAATTGCGTCGACCAGGAAGCGCAACAGCTCAGGAGAACGCTGTGATTAGTGACAGTGCTTATAAGGGCACCTCAGGTATTCCAGCCTGAGCGATCATGTTCCTGACTGTTCTCGGACCGGAGATCCGAAACCCGCAAGCCCATACCAGCATTTCCCAGTCGGAAAAGATCTCATCTGCGAAAGCGCGTGCAATTCCGCAGGCTCCGCACGGGCGGCTTTTCCACGCGTTGATGGAGTACCTGGCTGCGTACCACGCCGTCCTGGAGCGCGCGGTTCCGGACGGCAGCGCGGACGCCCGGCAAGCGGTCCAAGCGGCGCAGGACGCGTATGACGTGTACAGCGAGCAGCGGGACCCGGCCATCGGGCTCTTCCGGAGCTACTTCGGGCACGAGGTAAGAACACGTTCCTCAATTTTAATCTTGTTGCTGGTGTCTGCGTGTTGTCTTCCTGAAGTCACGCCGTCGCCTAGAGTCTCTTCCGGAAGTGAGCAAGCGTTTGGGGGGGAGGAAACCAGCATCGGGCCGCGCCCCTCTGGTTGGACGCAAGCAACCTAGCGGACGTTCTAGGTCGACTTGCTTCGAAAGTCGGGTGCCGAGAAAGGTTTCTTTTGACCTCCCACATGTGTTTCTGATCAATTTACATGGAGCATTGGATCCTCCGCACCTCCTCCTGTAGCAATCAAAACTTCCTCTGATTCACGTTTCTAAGATTCAGACTGGTTCGGATCCCATCTCTATGGCAACGGAGCGTGTCGCTGGGCAGCCTGCTAAATGTGTCCAACTTTGACCTTGTGAACTTTCTTAACCTGGTGAAATAGCTTCATTGATTGGCGCAACGTTGATCAGCAACGGAAGGATCATTTATTGCTAATTTGTCGTTGTCGTTGTGTCGAGCAGTGGGCCGAGTCCTTCACTAAGGACTTCCTCTTTCCGGGGTCGAGAAGAACAGACGCGAAAGATGAGCACTTCGACGTGAGTTGAGGAATGTCTTGTACCATGTATAGTTCAGAAATTTGACATGCGAGACGGCTAAACAGCCGTAGGTGTTGTCGAATGAGACGGGAATCTTACCATCGTTGATCGCACTAGCTGAGCCACTAGTTGCTAATGCCAGAAACTTCCAACAATATGCAACAACGATCTGTATAGTAGGGCTCTGCTTGACGTCTTTGCAGTTGGTCTAGCAGACATCATTGACCCCCTATGTAGCCATCACTGGAGACTGACTAATCAGCTCGACAAGTCGGTGATCGAGAAGGAGATTAGAAACAATTCAGCTACCTCGCCCGCTAGACCGTCCGTTCCATGTCAAGAGAAACGTAAACAATGTGACAGGCACGGCTCGCAAACAGCTCGAGTGATTCTGTTTTGTGCCATCTTCGTTTGGAGCACATGTATGCTTCGTTGTCATGACAAAGATCATGTACAAGATATCGTCAAATCAATGCGTGGCTTGCTCCTTCCATGCCAGTAGCTTCGACCCTAGACTTCTTAGATCAACGTGACAGGCTTGGCAAAAGGCGCACACATGTGAGTCAGAATTTGATTATGAAGCGCGCCGCGACTAATCGGAGCGTCGTCTGCGCAAGCTCAGTACCGAACATCTGTCTCCGGCGCCAGGACAAGTTGAGCCTGGCTGCGCGCACCTAGCTTAGTACACGGGACAGCTACGGTGCAAAATGCGGCCGGGGCAAATTGACCGGAATCAAATTTATCGGCGGCGGAGCACGCCGCACATTGCGACGATACGGTCGAATTTTGACGGGTCAAATTTGGGTACTTCGTGGGTGGTCGATCGGTCGACCGTACCAATATCCCCCGAGTTTTTGAAGGTCTGCTGCAAATTTGCCCCAATTTTCCCATATTTGGCTGTAAAATTGGGGTGTAAAGCCATGACTCCACAAGGACTTCCAATAGATATACAGAGATGCAACCTGTGCAGGGGGTTCAAGCTTGGAGTGTTGAAGAGCATGATGTAATTCACTTGGCAAGGAACTTCCATTTCAACATGGTTCCAGGCTCATAATCAGGCAAAGGTAGGCAAAGAAGAGCTTTGTCAAGACCACCATATCTTGAAGACAAAGGGCAACTCTTCACATCAATCCTTCAAATTGGACCCTCATTCTCACGGCCGTTGAAATATCGTAAGGGGTACCCAAGTCCGCGGTCAGCCGGGCAGTATTTCAGTCTTTACGCTATTTGTAAATTACGCCCGGGGCGTACCGGTACCGGTAGGGACAAAACAATTATGTACGGTCCGTACCACTTTACCGGTAGGTAGAGAGAACTGGCACGGAACCGCAATAGTGTGTCAGAAAGTACGTACCGTACCGGCAAAGGAATTCACCTTTAAATAATTATTTTGAGGAAAACCGAAAAGTTGGAAACTAAATTGGGCCCCCAGGGCGAAAAGGAGAAACCAGTAAAATAATAGAAAATAGCTCGAATCTGCTAAAATAAAGTTCAAAAATTCGCTTGCCGCGAAATGTAAAATAACTTCTCAGACCCCTTGGCGAAACCTTAAAACTTCCATAATTAATTATTCTCGGCCGATGGGGGTGAATTCCTTTGCCAGTACGGTACCAACATGGTACCATCCTGCCATCCAGCCGCAGAGCTCCTAAAAGTGGAACCGTGTAGTAGCTAGGGTAGGTGTTGTCTAAATAAGGTAAATACGCATGTACCGGCCGATCTATAAAGTCCATGTGCTTTATCCTGCCATGCCAATTTCTATTACAGCGTTACATCCTGGTAAGTCCGGTCAATCGATTTCCGGGCAATTGTAGAAATGAATAATCCGGGGCCAAACTGCCGCAAATTGACAGCGATTTTCTACCCCGGTCAATTTCGGCCGCGGCGAGAAGTGCCGGGATTTGGCGCAACTGCAAAATTGGACTCGTACGGAACTCCGGTGAAATATCCCCGCCGGACGGTGCAATTCCGCCCCGACCTACATTGCACCGTAGCTGTCCCGTGTAGGTGACCGTGACGTGCTGGCATGCGCGCTGGGCGCGACGGGTACGTTCCGCGGCGGCTTCAAACTGACAGACTGCATAGACTAAAATTTGCATGCTGCTTCCCGGCCATCAAGTTTTTAGCTAGCTTCCGATCCAGACAAATTGTAGTAAGAAGCTCGCCGGTGAGTCATGCATGTTGTATAAGTCTAGCTGTTCGAGAACCTAGAACCTACATGTTCGCGATCAAAGCCACATTGACATCGGAAGGTAGACTGCAGGCCAGGGATTCAGTAGATTTAAAGAGATTCCTCAAATCAGGTTTCCTCCGAGACGGTGTGGCGCCGCTCTTTAATGACGTATGCCTACGATGAGCATCTGGCACGCGGGCAGTGCATGCAGCCAACACATTCAGTACATTCAATATGACTCAATTGGAATATTGATTTCAAGCTAGAGCAGGCCTCGGGAGGAGATATTGCATGCACCGCTTCGATTTCTATCATTCTTGAGCCTAGGCTTAGATCTGAGAAGCCACACATATGGTCTTATGGTTTGTCATTTGTGGAGCTGCAAATCATCACAATATGGGCGTGCGTAGATATTCGTAGTGTCTATCCACACGATCAACTCTTCGGACCAGAACGCTTTCAATTCAGATCCTGAGTGAAACAAAATAACAGAATTGGGCGTCACATAAGCACGCGGCATTGAGGAGAGTCTCTCAAGGATCTTATAGGCAGTCTACCGTCTTATCGGGCTGAACAAAAAATGTTCTGAGGTACTCAGTAGCCACAAATTTTATGCATCCAATTAATCTGGCGGTCCCCTTCGTCAACGAGCAAAGCTGCTATTCAGTCCCCACCCATGTCTCTTTCTCATGTTTTCCTCAAGTTCTTTGTCCTGGTGATCGATAAGAAACTCCTGATATTCCAGATCGTCTGCATTCGTGCAAAAGCTCTCTAGATCTCCTATGATATAGTTGAAGTCTAGCAACGCCATAGTTCGGTAGAAAGGCGTGGCTGGATGTATGCCGTCTCCATGTGTCACTTGCAGCCACACGTGTCTTCTGTCCAGATACCTCGTCAATCTGTAGGCGTCGACTACTTTCCACACTTTGTTGACAGCAAAGTGTCGTTCCTGAATTTTGACAAAAAGATCCGTCCTTTCGTTTCGACGGATGGGATCAAGGTTCGAGATAACTTCCTCGTCGCAAGCCGTCATCGTATGATAGATAAACTTGGTCAAGGGGAGCCCTTTCGTCCCACCAATGACCTGCGACGCCTTTTGTTGCTCAAGTATCTGCGTCACTTGGATGGTCAACTTCTCTAAGTCTTTCTCATAAGACAGTTGGCCTTGGCCATAAACTATGTGGTGCAATCCCATGTTAAATATGACCGCCGACGGCTGGATGGAATCCGGCTGAAAGAAGTACTCGCTGTAGCGTAAAACTTGAACAATGAACTGGGCCCCGAAATATGTGATACAGAAGTCGAAGCCCCCTTCTTCCAGATTTTCTTTCACGAGCTCGCGAGTTCGCCTAGGGTCATGATTCTGATCGGGCAACGTCCAAGTCTTACAGGCGCCTCGCTCGAGGCCCGTTCCGTTCCGAGGATCAGACGAACGGCAACAAATACCGCACACGAAATCTGCACGCACGGTATCTATACCCAAATCGTTAACCATCGCCACAAACTGGTAATGAAGCAGGGAGTCACCCATCAGATGCACCCACGCCTGGCCCTTTCTTGCGGCTAGAAAGCTTCCCAGGTCGGCAATTGATCGGAACTCCAGGTTGCAGTTCACTTTTTGGACCTGGTCCAGTGACGTGAGATTCGCCAGTTGAAGGATATCACACGGCACCAAGCAAGTGTCCTGCTCGATCCCATTGCTTCTGGAGTTCTCGAGCGCGAACCGTTCTGATACTTGGCTCTTGACTCCACTTGTGTGGAGCAAAGTCGGCCGCAGAAGGACGGAGTCTGTGGAATACATAACGTCGCGACTCACGAGTCCAACGAAGAACATTACGAGCCCTGCAAATATCATGGCAAGAGTTTGTCATTGCCAGTGTTGTTGCAAATTTTTTGAGAGCTCTGGTAGGATGTCACTTGCCGTTCTAGTCCTTTTGACATGACGAGTGTTTTCTGCCTCGAAACTACGCATGAATGATCAAGTGATTGATTCACTGCATAGTCAAGTCTGCTGTATAAGCCAGTGACGGCAAAGTCACGGTATTCTGCTAGACTCGTTAGCATTTTCTTCCTTGCTTTGAACTCAGCGAACGACCCGTGAGAGTGTATTTCGAACTGATCTGGGACTGTTTTCGAATACTTCAGTGCAAAGCAGTCGCTTTCGAGGTTACAACACAGTCACTCTGGCAGTTCGTTTACTAGAGTCTGAAGTGTACCTTACAGAATGACGAAGAAAGAATACGTGAAAAAAGTTCAGAACTTCCCATCTGGAAACATATGAAATTTTAGCACAACTTGTTCTGCCTTCCGGAAGTTGCATTTTTACCAAGATTGTCCTTAATTCTGAGAAACATCAGCGCCCATGACAAATATTATACGGTAATATCCATGCTCTGAAGTTTGAAGAGTCGAAGCTGCCTTTGTTTTACCTTCGATTTCTTGCGACTGATGAAACCTACATATGGTCCATTTTTTTCAAGGCTAAAAGGATACACGACTTATTTCGAAAGATAATCGGACTCTCATCTTACCTGCGATTCCAGCTAGCGAGAGACGGATGGTGCCGGGCCCCATACCTGCCTTTACGAGGTCTTCAATGACGTTGAAGGACCTTCGAACCGAACCTTTTCATCAGATGTCCCTGCCCTGCAGCCAGCCGTCAGTGCGCGGAATAGATCACTTGGAGGCAACAGGACAAAACGATTCCGCCCGCAAAATGCCCTTTGCTTTTAGTATACTGTGAAATGAACAAACCGCTAAGTGCTTTTGGAAAACGCGCTGCGGCTCCCTGAGCTCCCGGTTCCCTCCATGGCAAATGAGCAGAGAAAACTTCGCTCAATTTTCAGAAGGCTGCGGATTGGAAGGTTTGCTTGACGTGACGGCATGACTCCGAATAACTAGTACTCTGTATCCTCTGAAGTCTGCTTGATGTGACGGCATGCATGCCTCAGAATACCTATTACTTCGGATACTCTCATTCTGCTTGATGTGACGGCATGACCAGAATACCGTACTTCGGATACTCCGCAACTGCTTGATGTGACGGCATGACTTATAAATCTTCGTACTCTGATGATCCGAGTTTTGGCTCGATTGGCTTGCCGCTTTACTATAGTAAAGAGAGAGCTTTAGTAATGAAGTAACTTCGCGGTTCGGGCGACGTCGCTGTACGACGTCGCGGTGCGGCCCTGAGTGTAAGACTTAATCGGGCTTGCGGGAAAGCGTCGCAAGGCAGCGGCCGACTATGAAACGTACAGTTGATGGCAAAAATCTGCTACGTAATGGATGGCCTGCTTTTTCCGACTGCCCTGCGCGTCGGCGGGGGTCAGTGCTCTTTCTAACTACATGCATACATATCAATGTGTACAAGCATTACAAACATAGCTGTATATATCAGGGCCATGCATTCGATCAGTGACCGACCAAACGATTCCGACGCTTCAAGGTGTTCAAATCGGTCAACAATTCTTCTACGTTCAAAAACAAGCAAACAGCAGGCCTCGAGTCCGCAACTATACGAGCTGATAACGATCTCTGCACCATCCAGAACGCTCTACTAGTGTTTACAGCCAAAAGTTCCTCCCCCAACCTTCGTGCGGATCCTACACTCTCTCTTTCCAAACTTCGCCGCTCTTTCACTGCCCCTTCTTACTATGATGCTCCCGGTTCAATTCTGCGACCGGTTCCGTCACCGAGGGCTTGGCCGGCCTGAGTCCTTCCCGGGGGCTTGGCCGGGGGCTTCCGGGGGCTTCCGGCGCCTTGGCCGGAATCCGGTGGTAATACGCCGCCATTGCCCGGGGGAGGAAGACGCACACCAGGAACCCGAACAGGTTAAAGTGCCAGAACAGCCAGTTAACCACCGCGAGCGCCTTGCCAAACGAAACCCACAGGTTCATGTCCCGGTTAACCAGCAGGGACCAGATGATAAGCGGACGGCCCAGAACCTCCGAGGAGATCGGGGGAGCGTCTCGCGTGAGGACACGTGTCACCCAGTGGTACAGCGAGGTGAGGCGCACCGCGTTGTAGAGGATCGGGGTTAGCGCCCTAACCGGGAGCGAAACCCCGCGGGAGCCGTGGATAAGATTCTCGGTCAGGATCTGGCACGAGAGCAGGAAGAGGTGGGGGGAGCTCGCGAGCACGCTCTCCGTGTCGCCGCGCGAGAAGCCGCCCAAGATGTACGCCATAGGCAGGAACTGCACAAGAAAGGGCGACCGCGCACTTAATGGCCAAACAAATGGACCGCTGGCCCGGACGTTGCCGAAAGAGAGATCGATGGTTGACTTTCGGAGTCGGTAGTCTTTTCTTCCGATTCCTTGTAATCCATTCCAGAAGTACCTTTCGGAAGTTCGAGCATCAGAAAGTCATCAGTAGGATCGCGTGCCGGTTTTACGGCAACCTGTACCGTGATAGAGAGGAGAGGAAACCACTTTTTCATCCCGTTCGTGGAACAGAAGCCCAGTTACACGGCGGTGGGTAGGTTGAATCGACAGGATTCCCTAAAGGGACAGCATCTGTCAAGTTTGGGGCCTTTTACAAAGCGCTTTTCAGACAAGGACGAAGAATCCGGCGTTCTAGATTTAACCAGGGCACGGACTTCGTAGCTTACAAGAAGCTGAGAGACAACTTTCTCAACATTCGTGTTCCTGTGGACATGAACGAACGGGTGCGAGAGGACGGGAAGAGATCAAAACGAAACCAGTCAACTTCAGTCAGACTTCGCGGTAAACAGCACAGAGCAGTTCAGCAGTTTCTGACAGACACGTATTCGTTCAAGAAAGCGGATGCAAAATCTCCGTTTGCTCGCTGATAGCTCTCAATGACGTGATATGGATACTCGAAGTGCGGCTCCGACAAGAGGTTGCAATTGAAGCTGAGAATTTCTCATCCATCATCTTCATCGCCGCTCTTTCAAGACCGAAGCGGACACTCAAACTAAAACGGCAAACCCGACTAGCATAGGCCCAAATGTGGGCTGAAAGTTTGCGATCAATGAGCGTGGCCCAGATGCTGGAGTAACAGGCATTCCATGGAGGTTAATTTTGGAAAAGGAAGACGTTCTTACAAACCGCAGACACAACTCAGGCTGAAGGGATATCTGCGCGGAATTCATGTGAACGAAAAGTGCTCGACATGTCAAAGGTCGATAAAATCCGCAAGTAACCAAAGAATCCTTGCTTCATCCGATATTGACAGCTCAAACAGAGCACTGCTGCCTACTGGGTTGAGTTTACAATTTGCTCTCTCATCCAATCCTCATTTTGCAAGTTCATAACCATTGCGTCGAATCAGGGTCGCATTCTCCTGCATAATCTGTCACCTACTTACCCTCTTAATGGCCAAGTACACACTCTCAATCGCAACGGCATAAGTGTCTTACACGGATATTCAACAGACACCAACCTGAAACCAGCCCAGCTCCAGCTTTTATGCGCGCGCTCACCAGGCCAATGAGCGCGCCGGAGAGCACGTAGACCTTGAAGAGGCGGCAGCCCCGGAACAGCCGCGGCGGGGCCTCGCGTGACGTCGGCGGGAAGACGAATCCGTTCAGGATGGCGATATACGCGGACGCGAAGATGGGGAATACGAGGTCGAAGAAGGGCACGTTCCCGCTGGTTCCCAGCACCACGATGAACGTCACCAGCTGCAGGTCCACTATCGTCAGCGAGTTGAGCACGTGCGTCAGCAGGCCCTCGGGTGACGTCGCCTCCGCGGGCGGCTCCGCGGCCGCGGGGTCTCGCGGAGTTTTGGGCCGCGGCCAGGGGTTCTCCGCGTGCGCCACCTGGACGCCGCCCATTGTGGCGCCGGACATCGCGCGCGCGCGCAGGGGTAGGCGCGTTTTGATTGGGACACGTGGCGGGCGTAGGCTTGTTTGACGTAAGGGGGGCAGGCTTGTTTGCAGCACCCAGAGGAGCCAAAACTTTGAGAAGCAGCTGAATTGAGACAGCTTATAGCGGATGGCTTGGGGCTGCTGTCGAAACCCGCCTTGTGCGCTCGACTCTGCCAGGTTGCTCAAAGATAGAAGCTGAAACCAAAAACAAAAGCTCAGAATGTCAGCACCTCTTGCAATGCTCGTGCATGACCCAAGCTTCTGCTTCAAATGTCTTCCATTGCGCTTTGCTCCGTTGTAGTCTTGGCCGCCCTTTGAAGGTACCCCCTTCGCGCATTCAGTGCTGCCATTTACCCTCTGCCATTTCCTCCTGTCCTCTCCTCGTCCTCCCTCTGCTAAAAGTGCAGCTCATTCACGAGACCTCAATTCGACTCGAGAGAGAGTGGTGCGAGTCGAAACCAGAGGGAATTAGGTGTCCGCGACGTGATCTTCGCTGGCAATGATTCGATTCGTGTCAGAAGCTTCTTTCGCCGCATCGCAAGAGTCGAGTACTTTCTCCGACTCGATTGACCGGACAGTGACAATGCAGGCGACATTCCTCCTTTTCGACGATCCAGAGGCTCCGCACAGCCCTATGTTTAAATCTCTGTAGTAAGCTTCAAATCCACCTCGAAGACAAAGTGTGGAACTGCAGAGTTTGAAATTCGGGAGCTTAGACACGCTACTGCCGACGACCCTTGAGGGACGCGCATTCTGAAAGGGCGCCGTAGGAGCGCTGTTTTACCTGTGCAACGAACTCCCCACGGTTGCAACCGTCCCACCTCTTCTTTACAGCATCTGCCCTGAGAAGCTCGACCTTTCTGCCGTTTGCATGCCCATCTCCAAAGCGCTTCTTGTGCAAGAGCGTTTCTTATTTCAGCCTTTCTGAGAGGACAAGCACGGGTTGAGCGAAGATGAAGGAAGAGCAGGGCCAGCCGCGCTTTGCATGGATCGACTGGGACTGGGAGTTTGTGGAGGCGTTCAAGAAGTCCAAGCTGCTGTGAGGCGACCTTCTTCCGCGTTCACAAATCTGTCTCGTAAACTTCAAGTATTGAAATTGAGGAACATTGAGGGTCAGGTTCCCAGGGTGTTTGAGTCAAAGGCCAGGTGGGCACTTCTGCTCAAGTTTGATGAAAGAATTGCTCTCAGACGCGGTCGGAGTATTCACTTCATCCTCCGATTGGACTCTGTCCGTTTCTTCACAAGGCTTCTGGGGGACACGAAAAGCGCTAAATGCCGATGCTTCGCCACGTTTCCTTGAAGCTTGATGCATGCTGGGCAGTTATCCTACATGCAGTAAGTCACAAGATCCTCGCTGATAACTTTGATTTTGAAAACTTGGACGGAGAAATATTCTTTGCGTGAAGTATTTTGATCAATACTATGCGTGTAGACGCGTGCTAAAATAACATCAGCCTTAGTTCAACCGTTTGGGCCTCCCGTTCCAAAATTTGGTACGTCCCAAGAATAGAGTCCGTGCTTTAACTGGAGGCACACAGATGCCACTCTTGTAAATTTTCAATGTCTCCCACTCTTGAAGTCCCTCTTCTGAATGAACAAGCTAGAATAGCTCCCTCAGATCAACAGACTACGGAAACCAAGCGGCGAAAGTATTCTGCATTCCAGTATCTTCATCGCTGCTCAGAAATTATCTAAGCATATCGTGCGGTCTGTCTAGTCTTCGTCATTTTTCGAAAATGTTATACAGCCAACTGACGTCATTCTACAGGGCGGAGAAGGGCGCTCCCCCGGCCGCCACGTCAGCAGTGGCCATCAAGGCCCCGGTCGACATCGTGGAAACTAGAGTGGCGCACGTGTTCTTCATGGACGTGCCGGGGCTCAAGAAGGATGACGTCGTCGTGCAGATCGAGGACCCGCCCGAGAAGCGCATCCTCAGCATCAGCGGTACGTTGGCATGACGTCATGGTGGTGGTCAGAAAACAACTTTGGAAAGTGGTAATGTCCATTCGTTTTGGGGCTGAATGACTGTGAGTCTGAGTGCAAGGCAATCCTTGCAGCTCGTGACATGTAGAAGGACCGTTCAATGACCTCTGCGTTTGAGCCGGACGGATTTCCCTACACTGAAACCTTCTCCGTACAACAATTTTGTTTTCTCTGCCTGTCTTAAAAGTTGACGGCCGAAATGAGTCCTGCTCGCTTGAATTTCTAGTCGGTCGTGTCATCCTGCATTCCTCTGGGAACGATGGGGACATCGAGTTCCGTTAAGTTCCCTTATGGAGCGCGTCCAACTCAAATGAGACCCTCACGCGAGGAATCCCAGTCTGTAGCAAGTCCGAACACAGCCCGGACTCTGAAGGGAGGGTTATAGTTGCATCTCCGAAATATTCATTCTTTTCTCTAAAACGTGGGCTGTCAAAGTACTGGCTGACTTTACTAGACTTCGCCTTAACGGAGGCCAAAGACAGCCACTTCAGGATGGTTGAAAAGTATTCTCCTGCGAGATCGGCGGGCTTGGACTTGATTCAACCCTGAGTTGGTTCCGCGCATTCCAGGGGAAGGATTCCGTCCGGTGATCGACAAGCCGTTCGAGGTGCACCGCGCGGAACGGCCGCTGGTGGGCGCCTTCACGCGCCGCTTCCACCTCCCGGAGAATGTCAACCTGGTGAGCGCCGGTTTGCTACTAACCCGCGTGGTTTATTGCGGCATCTCACTCCTTCCTTCAAGTTTGACAACAATGCGACCCATCGGTGACGCAAATCTGCACAATTCAAAGAACGGTTGAGCCGTTCGTCTCTTGTTCTGTCCGAACTATGTCTGGTACAATCCGGTGACCTCGGATCTTGAGAATTCCACATTCAACCATCTCTTGACCACTGGTGACTCAAGCCTGTGAACTTCAGGCTAAGACGGTCGTTTCGTTTCTCGTTCAGTCATAGTCAAATATGCTACAATCCGTCGAACTTTGTCAAATCCTGACTCTCTAGAAAGACTTCAGAAACCACGACCACGGTCGTAAACGGAACGGTAGCTAACCGGAGCGAAGCTATAGAGCGCCTTTTCTGTCTCTATTTGCTACGCTGATTAGATACAAGGTACGACTTGGGTGCTTTTTGATGCAGGACGCGATCCGCGCGCGCGTGGAGGACGGTCTGCTGACGGTGCTGGTGCCCAAGCGGAGGCAGGAGGAGCCCGCCGCGACGCGCGAGAACAAGGGGGCCAAGGCCGAGGACCAGCAGCGATTCCGGGCCAAGTGAAGGGAGCGGAACAGCGGACAAACGGTTGGCCTAAGTCTCTTGTCGGTCTAATGTCTAGTCAAGGGCGGTCCAAGATGGTTGTATGTAAGAAAAAAAGGGAGAGGCTGGAAGCCTGTTTCGACGGCGTGGGCTCGGTCTGTAAGGGTCCAATCTGTTCAGCGAACCCAATCACCGACTCATGGGCGATTGTCATTCTTCTGAGTTGGCCTGCAAGCATTGCATTCTGTTGCATCGACGGCCGTCTTGCAACCAAGCCCTCTGGTCAGTACAAAGGAGTCACTTCGTAATATGAGATACGACTTTCTTTGACACGACAGACTGGATGCCGCATTTGACGCTGTGATGCGTCCTTCTGCGAGGCTGCTGCACATACTTGATGCTGTTATCAAGGCTCTCGGAACCGCCCGCAACTTCAGCCGTCGCTGCGCATGGCAGAGCGTGCAACGGTGGCCGCCCCATTCGCCTTTTCCACAAACGGCCTGGTGCATTACCATAGAAACTTGTATAATCCCGTCGGCAGCATGTTGAATTGAATGCAACCAACATCGAGGCGCTCATTCGGTCGGCAGCTAGAATTGCTGGCGCGTGACGCAGATTGTACGTCAAGACGTTTTCGATCATCATGAATCGATGCATGATGCAATCATGCATGCTCCAGCAGATGGGATTCAATAACCCACGGCGATCTGTATTGCCGCTCATGAAACAGCTTGTATACCGTTGTGCCGTCGGATCAAGCTTTAGCTTATGTAAGCGCGGTATCTTGCATTCGCGATATCTATGCCAATGCACGCGCGCCATGCCAGTATTTGTTGTGGTATACTGTGGTAGCTAGGATAATCATGCGGATCGATGCGGGGCGCCAGGTAGACCTTATTTTTGGGTAAAATATAGACATCACCGGCCCAGAGAAGCTCTGACATGCAGCGCAATCGACCATGGCGGCTAGCCTAGTAGCTAGGATCTATCAAAGTAATTGTCGGTAGCGAACCGTTGAACCAGCTTGAGATATGGCATCCGCCACTTGATCGTGTGAAAAAAATCGTTCACCGTGACGGAAGCTAGCATGTCTTGCAAGACCTGCACATTTGATGCATGTCAGGCAATCTGCAATCGCGCCAAGAACTCGATGGCTAAGGTCAATGAGATCGAACAAATCCTCTGTAAGCCTGACGTTAGTAATGATAAACTAATCCACAGAAGGTGGTTTGAAATCGATGGTAAACGTTGCTATTTTCGCAGCTTCATGCCGCCTACTCCCTCAACTGGCTCGACATGCTTCTAGCCACTTCGGCTTCCCTGGTCCCTTCAGAATACTTGGAATTGGGAGCTTTTTCAGGCTCCACCCTTACAGCGAGCTACTTCAGACTCTCAATCAATTCACAAGTAGGACGGCACAAAACGAACTGCAGTATCACTGTAAGGCTTAAAGCCAGAACTTGGGAGTAGCAGCGTTCTATTGTCGCCCATTTCTTCGCCCCTGAGGTGCGCCGTCAAGAGCAAATCCTACTGAACGAGCCTCCTGCCCTAAAACAATCAACTAGTCGCCCGCACGCCTGATCAGACCAGTGTCTCCTAAGTCGGCTGACAAACGCTACCAATTCACATGTCACATGCCTCCCTCAAATCACATTGGGGACCGCCGGGGGGGTGCCCCACGAGGCTGCCATTGTGGCCCGCCATACCCCCTCCGTCCGCCCGCGTTGCTGTGCAACCCCCCCGAATGAGCGTTCCCTGGCTTCTCCCCATCAGCTTCGTAGATGCCCGGCTTGCGCACGTCCCCCGAGTTCTGGAACCCCCCCCTCCGCGCCGTGCCCCCCTGCGGCCCCCGCTTCTGGTACCCCCCAAAGCCCGCGCTCGGGTCCATCTCCTCTCTGGAATCCGCACCCCACCCAGTGGCCTGCATCGGCGGGTCCCGTGCTGACGTGGCATGGAACGCGGGCGTTCGGTCCTGAGGCCCGGGAGTCCTGCTCAAACCGCCGGGCGCCACGTGTGCATCCTTGCACCGAGTCCCGAACTTGCAGTTCCCCCTCTGGAAGAATCGGCACGGCCGCTGACCCACCCCGCCTGCAACCGGGCTCCCGCTGCCGTTGCTGGCGTTTGAGTAAGAGTCGCTGCCCCGCTGCCACGTGCGCCCGAAGCCCTCAAACCCTTGGCCCCCCTTGCCTTGCCGCGGACCCTCGAACTGCTGCTGCCGATTGTACGCGCCATCGTCATGCTGGCCGTTCTGTGGGCCGCCGTTCTCCCCTCCCCACCCCGTCGCCTGCTTCTGCTGCGCCTCTCCACCTCCCCAGGACGAGTACTCCGACGCAGAGCCCCCCTGCGCACGCCCCTCATGCTCGCCGTAACCGCCGTTGGCCGCCGGGTTCTGGTAAGCGCCTCCGTCAGCAAATCCGCCGCCGTTGGCGTACCCCCCCGCGCCGCCATACTCACTCGCCGCCCCCCCTACTGGCTGCTGCTCTTCCTCACCCCCCCAACCGGTGGGGATCGCAGTCCACCCCTGCTGGCTCTCCTGCGGTGCGTTTTGCCACCCCTCCCCGTCTTGATAGCCATTCCCGTAGCCGCTATCCTGCTCTGTACCACCAAACGCCGCAGCCTGAGCGCTGCTCTCGCCGCCCTCTCCCTCCTGGTAATACGCATCTGCCTGCGGTTCCAAATCGCTGCCGAGGGTCTGTTCGACTGCGTCGTATGCCGCTCCTGGGGGGGGGTACTCGTCCACATTTTCGGCCCCGTTTGCGTCGGCCCGCTCATTGACCCAGTATTCGCTGTCGCCTTGCCGAATGGGCTGCGTGACCGACGTGTCGGGCGGAGAAGGGGTGTCGCTCGACGGGGTGTACTGGCCCGACGAGTGAAGCCCTGCAAAAGCAAGCACGAAAAGGTATCAACGGCTTGAAAAACTGGACCCAGAGGGCACGGTTCCAAGGACGTTGGCGTTCGAAACGAAAGCCGGTAAGGTTCAGAGGGCTGGGGATACTCGCTGATTGTAACGAACGTTTCGTCGGACAATTGAAGGGAACGCCTGCTAAAGGCCGGCTCTGAAGGGCATGTTGATTCTGTACCTGGCTCCTCCTTTTGATCCTTCTGCATCTTGTTTGACGCCTTCCATTGCAGGCAGCCAAGCGCAATGCGGCACGCAACTATTGCTGGTGAACAGATGGCCAGACTAAGGCGCCACAACGGCAGCGAATTAGGAAGCAGCAACATTCACAAGGTACGCCAATCTCATCTAAAGAGAACTTCCGATCAAGCGACCACAGACAGAAGCATCTCCTCAAAAACCTGAACCAAGCAGCCAATCTCACCTGACGCTTGCCCTGCGCCTGCATATTGCCCCTGCCACCCGTACTGGTGTGCGCCCATCTCCTGCTGGCCCCCGTACATTTGCTGTGGGGCCCCCTGCTGCCGCGCAAACTGCCCCACGCCCCCCTGCTGCGTGGCAAACTGCCCCACCCCCCCCTGCGGGTACGTCTGACTGGTCCCCCCAAACCCGCTCGAGAACGGTGGAGGGCCCGCACTGCCCTGGTACCCCGGCTGACTGGCTGGGTACATGGCGGCTGGCTGCTTATACCCCTGCGGCGCACTGTTGGATGAGTAGTACCCAGGATAAGCGGTCGGCAGGGGCTGCTGCTGGGGGGGGTATTGAGTCGAAGGGTAGACCTGGGAGGTGGGGTATAATTGCGGAGGGGGTCCAGCGGACGGGGGGGTCGCCTGGACACGAGAGTCGGAGGCATAGCTGCTCGGGTACCCCCCATAAGCGGACAGCTGGGGTTGCAAGAAGGGGGGGGGGGCGGGCTGGACTGGTAGCTCCCGGCGCTTTGCCCCGGGTACTGCTGTGGCAGCGAGTAGGCGTCGTGCTGACCGTACTGGGGGGTTTGACTCTTGGCCGGGTACTCGTGAGTGAACTGAGGGGGGGTGGTGTAAGTTTGGACTGGCGCCGGGGGTTCCTCTTGAGGGGGGGAGGTACGGCCGAGGCTGAGCTGGCGGATCACCTGCATGGGGTCAATTGGAATGCTCTCCTGACCCCCATGAACGGAGAAAGTGGTTGTGGTTGCGTCACTCGATTCGTGGCTCTGACCCCACGTCTCCCTAAGGATGTCCGCCTCCGTCCGCATGGCGGGCATGCCGTTGGGTTGTTGGAGACCCGCCGTTTGTTTGAGGGGTTGGTAGGGGGCGTATCTGGGTGGTGGACGGTGAATTTTCTCAGACGGCACGTGGACGTCGGGAGAACCGTCGCTGGCGGCAGAGACTGCCTCCAGGGGGGACGTGGGGGAGGCGCGGTGCTCCTGCTCCGCACGGGACTGCACGCACAAAAAGTTAAAGAGTCGATAAGGACTCTGATGGAGCACGATGCAAAGATCAACGGAATTTTAAAGTCTTCGGAGATTGGGAGGGTCGTGTCAGTACTGATTGAAAAAACAGAAAGCTTTGTGAACTTGAGTTCCCTTAAGGAGAACACGCAAGAACGCCGTAAACAGATCTCGGGTCAAAAAAATACCGGTACGTTATCCTTCTACCCTGCTCAAATCATGCCCGTTACCATTACGGAATATCACAGCTAACGTTGAGAACTTTATCGTTGTCACGCTACTTCGACGAGCCTGAACCCTTCACCCCAAATCCAAGCACTCCGACCGCAGATAACAATCAAGCTGATTCTCAAATGCTTTGGAGGGCAGACTAGCAAATAGACCTCGTCGGCTCACCGCAATCTCCGCAAGAATCGAGTTGATGTCGAACTCCGAGCCCGCCTCCTCCTTCTGCTGCGTCTGCTGTGCCTGCTTCCGCTCCTCTCTTTGCCGCTCCTCCTCTCGCAGCATCTCCGCCTCACGCTCTCTCTCCTCAAACTCCGCGTCATCCACCATGCCCTCACCCGGCACATCCTCCCACTCCCCGGGGGCCTCGTCCCCAGCCGATCCACCCCCCCACTCCGACGACCCGGCCGCAAATTCGGCCCCCGGCCAGCCCTGCGCCTCGTCGAGCCCGGCGACCCCTCCACCCCCCCTCCGCCTCCGCCGGGGCGCCTTCTTCCCTCCAGTCCCCGCAAGCTTCGCCTTCTGCAGCAAAGCGTCCTCCGCGCGCCTGCGGCGCTCCGCCTCGATCCGCTCCGCCTCCTCCTTCTTGCGCTTCTGCTCGTCGGCCTTGCGCCGCTGGTCCTCGTCGAGGCGCCGTCCCGCCTTTACCCTGTCCTGCTCCATCTTCCACACCGCTTCCACTGCAGGATCCAGCGGCTCGCTCGCCGCGGGCCCATTGTCGGCGCCGTCAAACCCGGTGGGCTGCTCGACAAACCCGGTCGGTTGTTCGACAAACCCTGTGGGCTGCTCGACAAAAGCTGAAGCAGGCGCATGTGCGCCAAACCCTCGCTGCCCAAAGCCAGCGGGCTGGGTCTCAGAGGGCGAGTGCAGCGGTTGTGATGGGGAAGAGAACGGTGGTCCCGAGACGCCCAGGTCAGGCTGACGTTGAGTTGACGGGGAAGGAGGCATGGGGGCTGCCGCAGCTGTCGCCGCTGCTGCCGCTGCGGTTGTTGCGTAAGCAGTTCCATTCGGCCGGGCGAAGGCAGAGCCGGGCGCCTGACGAGCTCCGACTTGACGCGACTGCAGGACAAGAAATCGCATCAACTGGTGTGACAAGCGTCCACTCGAAGACGGAACTTGTCCACACGCCTTTTTGTGGAGATAAGAATCATGGAAAACACCATAGAAAAGAGAAACTTGCCAGAGGCCGGACGCAGGTCACCGCAGCACTGCTACACACACGAAATGGGAGGTGAGCAGAAGCCACTTTCTACGTAAGTACCCTGGAAGACAATTGACAAATTTCAACCTGTGCGACAGAACTCAAACCTGCATGCAACCAATACTCTTTCGCCAGATCACTACAGGTCCCACGGGAGACCGACCTGACTCCTGTCAATTTGGACCCCACAGAAGAACGCTCCACTCACCGCCGCTCGCTTGGCCTCCTCTTGCTGCTGCTTGGCCCGCTGCTGCCGCTGGTACGCCTCGATGCGCGCCAGCCGCTCCTCCTCCGCCTGCAGCCGCAGCGCCATCGCGCGGTCCTCGTCCTCGATGCGCTTCTTCTCCTCCATCTCCGCCATCATCCGCTCGTATGCCACCTTCTCCGCGCGCTTGCGGGCCGCCTCCTCGCGGCTCTTCTTCTTCCGCGCCTCCTTCTCCTTTTCTTCCTCCTTCTCTCTTGCAATCTCCTCCGGAGTCTTCTGCTTTACGGGGGCAGTCTCCACCTTCGGCGCAGCTTTGGGCTTCACCTCTGGGGGCGGGGTCACTACCTTTGCAGCACCGTTGACAGCTGGCGCCACGGGAGTGGGCGCCGCACGGGGCGCTGTGGAGGCTTTTGCGGAGACTCGGGGTACTTCGCTCTCCGGCTCCACTTCGTCGCCGTTGGTTTCAGGAGGCAGGTCCCTGGTCTTGACGGCCTTCTTGACTTTGGGCGGCTCAGAGTCGGGCTTGAGGGCAGCAAACGGGTTGGAGGATGCGGGAGATCCTGACAAGAACACAGACGAATGTCAGCAATCTGAACATGTTCAATCGTCCAGTTGCCGTCACATCTACTATAGAGTTCAGATGGGGCGACAAACTTCAGATGGGGCAAAACAGGAGGCTGCAACAATCTCTGCATGCAATTCAAACCAACCAAGAACAGACTCACCAGGACGGGTGATGGCCAACAAGCCAGTAATATGCCCACCAGCATCCACGTACAGCAAAACATTCTCTTACGACTTTGGCAGGCAAGGCCCGAAAGGGAACGCAGACTCCTACGATAACATCAGCCATCTTGCCATCTCGTCAGTGAACCAACTGCTGACTTCAACAGCAAGCCAATCGCCACATAAAGCGAAGGCAACAGCCAAGCTTACCTTCAGCCTCGTCTTCGTCCCCAGCCTTCCCCAACCCTCGCTTCCGCATCGGCTTCGGCTGCTGCACCTTCTTCTTCTCGCGCCGAGCCGCCGCTTCTGCCGCCATGGCGTCTGCGTGCGCCTGCGCCGCCGCCTCTGCCTGCTCCTTAGCCTTGGCCTTGTCCCGCCGACTCTGCTCCTCGCGACGCCGCCGCTCTTGCTCCTCCTGGTGGACAGATGGCGCAAAAAGGTGCTGAGATTCGAGCTTGAGAACAGCCTTTACAGTCTCCTTGAGGAAAAAATGTAGCATCAAAGGTTGAGGAAAGCGCAGCTTGTAAGACGAAGCAAGCAAAGGAAACAGTGGATTGCCTTTTCTACAACATTCTAATGGAAAGGTCATGGGCAAAGGCGGAACAAAGAACCAACGGACACCAACTGAATTCCTTGTACCCAGATCTCGAGAGCTTCCATTTCACCAGAGTCTCTAGGGCATGTCCGTGATCGCCCCATTTGGTTGACCAAGTGTTAGGAGGAAGCCTGCTCCTCCTGAAACAAGTTTCGACCGTGATGCTCAAAGCTTACACCCCAACCAACATTCGCACCTTCTCCTTTGCAAGAGCCTCCTCTTTCTCGCGCGCCTCCTGCTCCTCCCGCTCTTTCGCCCCCGCCACTTGGCGCTCCTTCTGCCTAGCCTTCTCCTCCCTCTTCTGCCGCTTCAGAGCCTCCGCCGCCTCGTGCTTCGCCTTTATTTCCGCCTTGCGCCGTGCCTCCTGCTCTTCTCTCCTCTTCTGATTAGCCTGCAGAAAGTACGATACAAAAGATGGTCACCAAACCGGAAACTAACATGCTGCCATCAGAATCATTTGACCGAACCAGTTTATTCAAGTGATGCCCTCTAGATGCTGAGAAACGTCAGATAGATAAGCCTGCAAATTCCCCCAGCAACTATCAAAGTATGTCATGACTGCTCGCCAATCATTCCCTGCCTACCTCGTCTTCTCTCTTCTTCCTCTCAGCAGCCTCCGCCTGTTTGCGCTGTGCCTCCTGCTGCCTCTTCTGAGCCGCCTCCTGCCTCCTCTGCTCCTCCGCCCTCCTCTGCTCCCCTCGGCGGTACCGCCAATTCTCATCCTCCTCTTCCGAGTCCGTCTCGTACTCCGAGTCGCTGTCAGACCGGGACATTGTAGGGACGAACACAAATCCTGGGCCTCTCCCCATGCCTCCAAAGTGCACATGCGGGCCACCGCCGAAAGAGCTCCTGCCGAAAGAGCCCCCAGCATGCGAGGGGCCGCCGCCACCAAACACCCCGCCCCCAAAGCCTCCTCCAAAGGGACTGCGACGGGCGGCAGCCTGGCGAGCGAATAATTTTGACAGCCTGTACAGAGACAGAAATGAGTTGTTTTTAAAATCGACGATGCCTTGACCAAAAACAGTTCTGCTCCATGTTCAGACCTGGCGCCATAAACACTTTCCAACTCTCATGAGTGCTGGAACACGTATGTGACAAGAAGAAGTCCCCAAACTGCAAAGCGCACTTTTGAGATGTAAGATAACTTTTCCATCACAAGATCCCACTTTTGGAGCGTGCCCCAGGACCTTGAATCAGACCTACTCTGCAACAATCATGGGAGAGATGCTCACAAGTCCATGAACTGCTCGAACGGCACAATGTCGTCGTCATCATCCCACTCGATCTCGTCCTCGCTGTCAGGCTGCTGCATGCGCTTGTGTGCCGCATTGATCTCCTTGAACTTCTCCGTAGCCTCCGGTGATTTGTTCTTGTCAGGGTGCCAGACCAGCGCGAGCTTCTTGAAAGCGGTTCGAATCTGCAACATACAAACTTGTCAAGATTGCCATTCTCTCAGACCTCCCCGGGACAATGCCCTCCATACTATTGACAATTACAAACCACCAAAAGGAAGATTGTCTTTGTGCCACCTTCAGCAAAAGAAGCTGTCAATCGGCTGCAAAATCACTCTCACAAGCAAGAAAAACCCCACAACCTTTGAAAAGATGATCCTCCAACATGCAAGGAAAAGCTGCGGAGCCCCACAACAGATACAATTATAGTCCCGATAAAACACCAAGACAATGAACGATGAACACTGAAAACTCGAACGCAACTGTCAGCAAAGAAATGTGGCACTGTTCCAGAATGAAGACTGGCATCGACGCCCAAGCTTAACATGAAAACCACACTCCATAATTTCAGACTGAACACAAGGACAAACGAATTTGAAAATCAGAATGGGAACCCTCAAAATCGCCATCTCTGAGTGTGCAAAGTAAAACCCCTAGGTTGTTCGACCCCACTGCTTGCTTGATTGACTCCAGCAAACCCTAAATTGTGCAGATAACAGGTGATGCTTAGGTTGTGCAAAGAAAATGAATGCTTTCTCACGCTCTAGCTTCGGAAAGCTGGAAAGATGCGGAGCTCGAATAAAGGGAGGCTCGAAAAGAGCCGACAGGATGCGAAGCTAGCATAGGGGTTGGTAGTGAATGTTCCAAGCCAATCTGTGGTTACCTGCATTCCTCACCAGAGTTGCTGCAATGAGACTGTCTATTCGTCCCATTCAAATCAGACCAGGCAAATGATAAGATACAGACAAACTGTTGGTAATCGACCTTCCTCCAGTGGTTGGACGGGCAATGAGATACCGACGCATCAAAATCCCCTTAGCAGGTCATGAGTTCAAAAGCATCAGGAACAACACAGAATCAGACCCTCACCTCTGTTTCTTCTGCATCCTCAGACACCCCCAAAACTGCTGCCGCCCTCGTTTTGGTAAGGCCCACCATGACGACACTAGGTTGGCACGGACAAATTTGCAGTCAAGATCTAGAGCGGAAAAGAGCTTCAAAAGCTGGGCTAGTCAGACATCACTCCCATTCAAGTCAAACTCTTGACGCTGATCAAGAGTTGCCTCGTAAACCGACGTTGATTGAGAGGTGCCTCGTAAACAGTTCAGAATCAAGTACGCTGCAGATCCATAGAGTTACCCTTGATGCTGGTAACAGCTAAGATGTTCCTAAACCTCTTGCAGACGCAGATCCACAAAAACCCTATGGCTGTGTAAGATTGAGAGGCTTGGAAGAACTGAATGCAACCCAGTCGGCTTTGCATTACGTGTCCTTGTGACTTACTTAAATCTTGAGCAACCTACTAACGTAACCAAGCGACCAAAGAACCTGACATGACAAAGCTACAATGCTCGCCAAGCTCCCACTAACATGGCAGTACCTATCCTAGGCGGTCCTGGGAAACCAAATCTGACCACCCCATGCACAAAACAGCTTGTCCCCTTGCTAGCTGCTGGTCCACTTGCGCAAGTTGAAGCAGGGAGTGTTCCTGCTTGGCGCTTAAAGGCTGTAAAACAAACAATTTCTGAATTCTGAACAGGAACTTGAATTGAAGTCCCGGCAAACAGGGGGATTGTCAGATATTGTGAGAGATACTTTGCAAAAGCTCACGTCAGCACAGTCTATAGCCTTACTATTAGGCCGCAGACTGCAGATCTAGGGCCTAACTGACGTCAGGCTCCGCACATCGGACGGTACTTCGATGTTTGCGGTGACGAACCCTTGTCATCGACGGTATACCGTCTTAGCGAGGCTTGCCAACCCTAGTAGCTTTGGCGCCAAAATGGACGGACAAGATATGCAGGGTTTAACTCTGCAGGCGACTCGCGATCGCGGCAAGAATCAGCGCGCGGCCGCCGCACCGTACGTCGGCCGGCCGCGGGCGGTCAGGTGTGGAACCGCGCGGCATGTTCAGCCTGCGGCATGTGACCGCGCGCCGCTCTCTTGCAAGAGGATGCTCTCATCTGGTACACTCATCTCGCGGCGGCTTTGCGAGGGTCAGACTATCTCACATGATTCGCGAGGTAATTCGAGTATAAGACGATGGTGTAACATGTGTCAGCATATAGGTAGTGCTCCAAATGTCCAAACGTGCAATCAAATTGCACTGTATTGCTGCGAAAAGAAGCAATTGTGCATGATGTATGAACGGAAACGTACTCGAGTTTCAAATTCAGATCCAAGTGCATGGTTGTAACACGATCTGATAATCTGATCTTGAGGATTGTTATCGCGGCCTGCCACCGTCAGGGCAAGGTACACCCTGGAAACTGAGGTTGGTTCGTGCAAGGTTCATTTTCTCGTCAAAGTTCGTGTTAGTATGCTATAAGACCTGGTACGTTCGGGTTGTTGCTACGTGCAGTGCCTCGAATGGATGAAAATCCATGATGCGAACGCAAACGGCCCCTCTTAAAGTGGAGCTCTTGTAGGTTATACTTCAAAACGTTCCTGACCGGATTCATGCATTTCTAAGGTCTTCCACAACTAAAAGCATTACTCATGGGATTTGAATCGTGGGAGATACTATGATTATGAAAGTGTCCGAGAAGCGTCCGAATCTGTGATACTGCAAACTTGGTTATAGACGAACGGCCTTGACTTCAATCGACCCTGTTCAAGGCTTTTGTTCGTTTCACAACCCTTGATCATGCAAGCTTCTAACGAATCTAACGTATTGAACAGCCGCTCTTTGCATCGTACATGTACGTAGAGATTGCGCTTTACGCCCCTTCCAGTTCTGTATATACGAGGAACGGCGGAACCCCAGCTTACCCAAATATCTATCAGCGCTTGTTATGTTTCATTCTATCCGGCTCATGCCTTTATGTATGGTACAGTTCCGCAATTGTAACTTGAATGCAATGCTTACTCCCGTGCGCTCATGCGGGAATGGCTATGCTTCCCTATGCGGACGTGGCGTTTACGCCATGATCCGCTTTGGCAGCAGCTTTTGCTGCACGTCCGCTGACGTGGGCATGTTTGACGCTCCCAGCGTGGCCGCCTCGCGTACTTGGAGACTGACGTCAGCCTGGCCCGCGCGCGACTCGGAATTATAAACCTTTTTCCATTGCGCGACGAAGTCTTGGACGGTGGGATGGTCCATGTAAGGCGCAGCAGGGTCGAAGTTCCATGGCTTGGAACCCTGCCACGTGGCAACAAGCCCAGAGAGTCAGCAACGCACGGTCGCGAAAATTTGCCTCGAACCGGGGTTGAAAGTTGGTTTACAACGCTCAAAAGGGGCGTATGAACCCAACGGAAAAAGAGGTCTACCTTTTAGAGTTGTACAAGAAAGACAGTCGGACTAAAAGGGACGTCAAGTTGAACTTGTCCTTTGACGAGCCTCTGATTTAAAGACGAAGTTATGAAGTCAGTACGAGTTTTCGCCATTTGCATCATTTGAATCGAAAATACGAACAACCAGATATGTTCAATAGACGTCCAAATTCAAGCGAAGGTGAAAGAAAGACCACGGACTAAGCCTACAGCGGGTTTCAGCGGACCAAGGTTGGACCGGCTCGCAGAATTCCTTAGTGCAGACTCTGACGACCGCCCAGAAGGCTCACTTTCGAGCGCCCGGGTTACGATAGGAACAAAATAAGACCGATCGATGCCCGTGAGATTATGCAACCTTTTGCAAGCTCATTTTGGACGCGCCCTCGGAGCTGCGATCCCGTCGCGCAGGCCAGAAGTACTGACAAGCCTTCAACCAGCTTTTCCTGCTATTCATCAGAGCGGAGACAACCCTCAATGAGATTGTCCATGCACCAATGAAAACGCGAAGAAGGCGACTTTCAGTTTGAAGGAGGAAAACTCGATGGCAGAAATTAGACGTGAGGAATTAACAAAAACTAGACGTGAGAAATTAAGATTACAGTGTGACTTTCTTAACACGCTCTCGTATTTCCCGTTTCTGTTTTTCAAGTGTCTCGCCCAGAATCTGCATTCTGTCATCTTCCTTTCAATGCCATGCACACAGCATGATTGCACAACAATCCAAATCTAGAAGGTCTCATTTCTTGTCCCCACCTTGGCGCAGTAGTGCACGTTCTTGACCTTCTTGACGTCGACGTTTTCCGGATGTTGCCAGAGCATGGCCAGCACCAGGTTGTAGCAGCTCGGGATCGGTCGGTAAACGGCCTCGAAGTAGCGGTTCAGAAAGTCCTGCTCTGCGAATGGCGTCGCGGGCCACTCCTCCATCTTCTGCAGCATGTCCCTGCAAGATGACGTCAGCAGAACGTCAGCGGAGGGATGAGCAATTGAGAAGCCCTGTGACCTTCAACATGAGAGCGTCGAAAGGTGAGGAGCTCTAAGTGGAGTATCGACACGGTCTGGGGACGTAAGGCAGTCGCAAGAAAATTTCATGGGTGCATGTTGCGATTGCACTCGCAGAAAGTGGTAAAGCAAACGAAGAACGATCCAGGGTGCCCTCGGAAGCGACACGTGTCACATGCTGGACCCAGTACAACTCTGTTCTCGCTATAGTTGCCCTACGACGTGCATTTCGGACACAGGCACAGCAGAAGGCTCACGTGCGGATCCTTCAACGGCAACAAACTCTGACAAAGTTGCTCAGAAGGAAAAAGAGATCAGGCCTGACGGCTCAACTTGAAGATGGTGGAGCTGGGCTCGAAGACAAACATGCCGGCGTTGAAGTAGGGGGCGGGCTTAGGCGCGTCTGCGGTCCAGGGCACCTTGTGTGGGGCCTGCTGGCAGTAGCCCAGCTGGTACTGCACTGTGTAGCTCCACGTGCCTGCGCCGTGCAGGATGACGTCAGCAACCGACTGATTTGGAATGGAGTATTCTGGACCAAATCCTTGCGGCAGGAAGATGTCAAAGGTCTCTACTTGATGGACAACTGTAAGGTCGGTACAAGCAGCTCTCAGATTCCAGATGAAAGGTTGTCCAATTGGCAGATGAACATCTTCGCAGTCCCAGGCAAGTCGAACGCGGAGAAAGGGTACAGTGGTAGACTCAGGTTGTGGGTACAGTAGCATCTGACCTCAAGACCGGAAAGCAAGCCCAGCGTCGAAGCCTGGAAAACCCGCTTTTCTGAATTTTGGAGTAGTTTTATGACTGGGAAGTAAAATCTTGCTTTTCGAAATAGGTTTTCTGACAAGTTAATCGTCCGCTCAACCTCACAGAAACAGTCCATGACGGCGCTCAAGGTCCCAGGGGGCCTGTCAAAGAGCTCGTCGATATTCTGGAAAAGGAGCATGTCGGCGTCCAGGTAGATCAGCTTGTCGTACTCCTCAAACTGCACACGTACACAAAGAAGGACCTGGGCCTCAGTGGCGTGTTGACCGCATTGCAAAAGTTTTTCGGTGTAAGTACTGGCGCCTCTGAAACCAAGACTAGTCTGAGCTGTTGATCTTTATTCATGTGTATTTAAGGCCCACCAGTCTTTTAGCCAGCCATCTATAACGCTTCAGGATCATATGCATGAAATCCACAAGCCTGCACACTCTAAAAGGTGCAACAGAGCATGGGGTTCAACTGCCTAATTTCAATACCTTAAACGGGAAATAGCTCCACACATCAAGACCTGTCAATCTGGGAAACCCTTTATGCTTCAACCTCCCACTTAGAAATGTTACAGTGCAGATCCCACAAGAGAACCCCTGCCTCCTTTCATATTGCTTTCTTCCTAACCTGCCCTGCTTGCCAGAACAAAGCACCGAGTCAAGATATATCTTCAGAGTGATCTGTGATCCTGCAATTAAGCGCACACCCATCGAAACCAACACTATGAAAACACACATGACATATTGCAAAGTACGGGCCCCGAGGCAGAAAACCAATGCAAGTTTTAGAGACAAGCCCACGACCATAAGAGAAAAGCTGACATCACCTCTCATCCCCTGACCAGCCCGGTTCCACGCAGCTGGGTGTGTTGAGACAAGACGACTAGCATCTGCACAGCAATGCCACGTCAAGTTCTCGCACCGCCCTCGGGCTAGCCCACCCACGTTGAGCAAATGTTCAGAAAGTATAGGGTCCAACGTTGTTAAGTTGACTCTGTCAGCCAATTGGTTGCGGTTGCAGGTTCAGTCCTCTATATTGCGCAACCACTCGATCAATGCATGGGAGCGGCATCACCATTGCTCTTTAACAACAGAAGGATGAGACACGAATCTCGCCCAAAATACAAGTAGAACAATGTTGCAGGTTTGAAATGATGGGGCCTTGGCAGACTGAGAAGAGGCTTGTGCAGTTGATCATGCTACTGTGGGTGCCTAGGTCACAAATTTGAACAGTGGGCATGTTAGAAGGCCCCAGCCCACTAGATTGTCAGCAGATGAGTTCCTCCGATTAGTTTGTGACCAGACAAGATCTGCAATAAGGATTGCATTGTGCTGCCAAGATTGTCCAACTGCCTACAAACCCATAAAAGGTTGACAACTCAAGCCCATTCCTATCAAAGCATACATTCTGGTCTCATCAAAAGGTAATCAAGGTCCCACCCACCTGCCATATCCGCAGCTTGGTATAGTTCACCACATAGTAGTCGCACGCAAACTTGACGGCCCCCGCGCTCTTGGGCTTCACCTTTTCAATCTCCCGCACAATGCACCCCTCCCTCAAAAGCCAGTTCCTATGCGCTCCAGGCACACAATCTGTGACAGCCACAATCAGGGGGTACGAGCTCTGCACCGCCCTCAGACTTTTGGCCAGTGCCACCACCCCCTTCACATAGTCCCCCGCACCCATGAGAAAGGTGACATACGCACGGTGCTGCAGGCCCACCCGCCGCATCGTCCTTGCAAGATCGTCCATGATTATGAGCAGCTCATGGAGTGGTGCAGAGCACCGGGCTTGAGACAATGTTCCAAGGAGTGGTGTAAGTTGCTGACAGCTGGCAGCTCCCTGAACAGAATATTAGTATAATGCGCAATGCCGGTAGTGCTGCCCAAAAGGTAACCCAATGCTGCCTTCTATCTGCTGGCGCCGCTAAGGTGGTTGCTCAGCGAGCATCATGAGCTGTATCACTTGATATGTGCGCTTTAGAAAGTTTCGAACGTGCATTCTCTAGCTGCACGAGAACTCAAGAGTCAATGACTTCAATGTCGGGGGGCCCGGCTTGGAATCTGGATTGACCTGCTCTCGAGTCTCGCGACTCTCTCCCCTGTCTTGAAGTTGAAGTTCTAGAAACACACTGGATCCGGGGCTTCCGATGCCGTCCAAAAGCTGGCCACGCCCTATCGAACGCCCTACAAGTGGTACACGAGCACGTGGTCTGGACTTCAGAAGTGGCGTGATCACAAGTTTTGGGATTCGCGTCGATCACCTTCCTGGGTTCAGCACTTGGATTCGACGAGAAAGCTGGTCGATACAACGGAATTCACTGAGGTCCGTATCCAGAGCGGGACCCTAGGTCTCTCGACGTCGAAACAGTCCTGGGATTCTCCTTTGATGGTTTACAGTAGGTGCATCATGGAGCCCTAATCATGTACTGAAAGGTTCAGAGTAGGCGAGTAAGGTACATGGAGTCCAGGACAGTACTGCTCAGGTTTGGGATGCGGGAATTGTGGGCAGCGGCACGCGCTGAGGATCATCAGCCCGATGCAACAGCAGCGCCGTGTGCAGCATTAATGCAGGAGCATACGAATCATGTGCAGCATGCGCATATGCAAAACGCTTGGGGGGCGAGGTGCAGACGGTTCATCAGTGAAGGCAAATCTCGGGTTCGATGCAAGGACTCATTGACATGTCGCTACTACGGCGTACACCAAGTGATTTTTGCCCCAGATGCAAATATAAGATGCTACTAGCTCTGCATGTTGTGGAGATGTTTGTGTCGGCGTTGCAACCCACATTTCGAAGCTGCCTGCTCCATTGAAAAGGGCGCACACAATCGGCCTCTTTGGGCTCTTTCGGCTTGCTGCCTGACATGCTGCATTTCGGGACGCGCGGGACATCAGTGCAATCACCATAATCAAGCCCGTTAAAAGCAGTAGGACAGAAGTACTCCTAGCAACGCTGGTATCAATTTGGAGCTCAGCACTCCAACTTCGATTGGCAGCTACTTCGTACTCTGATCCTACCGGACAAACGCTGACGTCATCAGTTGCACCTAACTTCCTGCTGGTCCGAGTCTGAACATTGCAAGTTGCTTCCTGTTGGTCCGAGTCTGAACATTTATCCAAGCGGCTCAGCTTGTTTAAAGCAGCTCGCCCTTGCCCTTCCAACGAAATTTGCTTTGCGGGTTATTGAATGGCGTGTCATATTGAAACACGCTTTCTGCAGGCACGCCCCCTCAGATCCCACCGCCAGCTTCTCTACTTTCTACTGGCTCCAATTCTCCTCCATTGGCAGGATACCAGTTGGCTATCCGATCTACCCGGTCCGGAAACTCTGCCTCCCACTCTTCTCTCGTAAGTACTCCGCTGTGCGCCTTCCAGAACCGCCGGAAGTTGATCCGGCTGGGCTTCCAGTCGCGAGCGTCTCCAAAGAGGCGCTCTCCCGCGTATTGTCCACTTGTCAGCATGCGCCACTTGGCGATGGGCTCCACAGCAGGCGACACGTGGCTCTGCAGGGCACGCATGACGCACGCGACACGGCCATCGCCCCAGTATGTGCCGCGAAGCATGCGCCCCGCCTTGGTGACGTCCGGCTCGCGCGCAAATGCCGCTGCAAAAACATTGTTACAAATAAGTTGTTTGAATCTCGGGGCTCTTTCCGTCTGTCGTTTTTTGTCTTCGTATCAATGTAGGACCCCTGCTTGTCGACGGGCGAACGAATCACTTTTGTAAAACTGTGATTGTTGTGTCTCGCCGTCTCTGACAAGTAGCGCTTGGCAAAGCGGCGCACAATTCAGGTCCGGTTGTGGACAACGAAAGATTGTTGTCAAAGAATCCTCCAACAAAGAATCCTCCTGAGGCGTTTCAGAATCGGACGAGATTAAACCAGCAGAGTACGAAACAACCTCCCTGTCCTTACATCAAGCTTTCGAGCAGTAGCCACAGCTGGTCAATTGCTTAGGCTTGAGCGACCTTTCAATTTGGTACTCGTCAATTGTTCCGAAGCCAAGCTGCTTTTGAATGCGCCGCCAAACCGCCTACGAACAACCAATCGCACATCAATACAACATTTCTCCATTCGGAAATGTTCTCACCTGCAAACCGCCTGTGCTCCATCTCCGTGGCCATCCTAGTTCCGGCGTTTGCGAGCCGCCTCTCCTCACGGAAGATGACGTCCTCGCGCGCGCGCTTGATCTCGGCCTCGCAGTCAGCGGTGAACGGGCTCAGGTAGCGGCCGGCAGCAATCTCTTGACGCCTCACAGGGTTCTTCTGGTGCAGGTAGTTCTGATACAGCAGCCAGAAAGCTCGGCGGCCCTGGAAGGGGAAGTGAACAAAAAGCCTAAGACTGTGGCAATAAGGAGAGCGGGTTGCAGCTTTCTTCTCTCGCGCTTATGCTACAGAGCTTTGACGAACTTTCTACTGGGTAATGACGACCTTGATGAGCAGACGAACATGTATTCTGAGGGAGAAGTACCTCATGACAACGGAATCCTCCTTTGTAACAAGCTAATCTAGCTTGTTGACCAGCAACTATCCTTTCGTACGGCCTCTCATATCTCCGTGGTTCGTTAGCCCACTATTCACACAAGTGCTTGAATGTAACCGGAAGAAAGAAGGCGGCCTTTGCTTGACTTTCCACCGCATACAACGGGTGCAGTTCTGATTATCATCACAGGTTGCCTGACCGCAACCATATGCTCCTCGAATCTCGGTTCTTCTTAGCTCACCTCCGGAAAGAGTCGTCGAAATGTCAGCTCTCCCGTTGGCGCTTGAACCTCCCTCAAACCCGCGCCCGGCGACAGCAACCGCAGTAATCGCAGTGTCAAGGTCGCCCACTTGTCGAAAGCGTCCGTTGCGGCGGAGACAAGCTTCTTGGCCGCGGGAGTCAGCGTATCGTCGTCCCATGCGTTCGGTGTGGGCTTCCCAGCGCGCGGCGCACCCTCCAGAATGGACTCGGAAGTCACACCGAAGACTTCCAGCAAGAAGCTGTCTTCGTTGACTGCACAAGTTCGGTGTTCTTAACTAGTCAGAAGCAACAGATCGGTAACGAACAGGGGAATCCTGTTCCGACCGCTAAGCAGCTGTCGACTGTCCTCGGGCCAGGAGCAGGATCAATGCAAACAACCTCTCTCATAAGACCAGTCTTTCCCCGCAGTCTCTCCTCGACGAAGCATAAAACGAATGCCTTCCTAGGTGCGTGATACGACTCTCACCGGAGTCTCCGCCCCCTGGCTGCACTCTTCTCGCCTCTTCTTCGGCGACAAGCTTCATGAGCTCCTCCAGCGGCAGGTCGCCCAGGTCTCCCGCCAGCTGGGCGACGTGCGCTTGCATCAGAAACACGGCGGTGCTGGGCACGACGTCGAGCGTTCGTGCAGCCGGATCATCCAGGTAGGCAGTGACGCCAGCCACAACCTAAACAAGAGAGAAAAAGCTGCTGTTTTTGAAAAGCTTCCAGATTGATCTTCAAACAGCGGTATCGTTATGTCTGGCAACTGCCCGCAGTCGAGATTGAACTGCAAGCGAGTCTGGGTGAAGCGACACAAGCGCCTTACAATTGGTCGAAATTCTGTGGCGAATCTGTGACACCTGAGACGGTCGAACCCCTTCATAAGGATCATAAGAATGTGGGCTAAGCTTAGAGGACGATCTCCGTCATTCATTTTTTTTGACAAGACTCCGATCCGACCTCCGAATTCTGGTCGCGTTTCAAGACTCTTCGACATTCAAACCGTTGCCAAATCAACCCACCTGATCCTTCATTGTGTATCGATAGTAGACGGCCAGGCACGTCTCCTGCAGCATCTTCCAGACGGCCTCGCCTCTCTCCGTGCCAGGTGGCAGCTGCTGGGCCGCCGCGGCGAGGACCAAGAAGGGGACGACACGTGCCTGCTCCCCGGTGAAGCCGAGTGGGTCGAGCGTGACCACCCATCCGAGAACTTCGCGCATCCGCTGCAGGGCGATCGCGCCGTGGGGGCCGCCGATGCACAGCGGCAGGATGGCGTTCACCTGTGGCGCACGTAGCTTAGTATTCTAACGTGAGACTGGGCCTTTGCGTAGACTGGAAATCTCTGAATGACAAAGATTTGAATGGTGGCGAGCAGAGGTTGCTTTAAGAGCTGAGCGATTGAAACGACTTGAACTGAATTGTTGTATCAAAAAAGTTAGTCAACTTTTTCAAAACGGGCAGACACGAAGTTGTATTGGATCTGGTACCGGTACTGGATCTCTGATGATCTCGTAGCGTTTAGCAGTTGCAGCTTGGCTTGACCTGACGTCAGCTCCGGAAGACGTTATTCCGGAGACCTCATCGAGATAGCAAGCGCAGTGAACGCACAAAGTTAGACCAGCACGCAGCAATCACCTTTCTATCCACGACATCCAATCGGGCCCGACTCCGAGACGACGTTTCTTGTACTGAAAGGCGTTGCGGCTGACCTGCTCTCTGGCCGCCCCGACGAACACGTTCCCCGACGCGTCCCTGCTGAAGCCCCCGTGTATGGCCTGCTCGTTGCCGCCATACTGCACCGCCTCAAAGAACGCGTCGTCCGTTGCGAATGCGGACGTAATGATGGACCGGACCTGCCCAACCAACGGTGTGCATCTGAGAACTTGACAGGCTTCCAACTTTCTCACCGATAAAACGTTCTGGCCAGGTTACGTATGAACTCTCCAGTACACATTGTTGTGATGAACAGAAGAACTGCCCTGAATTTCTTTCGAGCGAGACGAGCCCCGGATCAAATTTCTTAACCGCGACCAGATGCTAGACATCCGACAACTTCTCAGCTTTCTCCGCTGACAGTAGATTGTGCTCAAAACCTCTGCACATATACTGAGCTCCTTACTAGATCAGACACAACACCTCTTCCCGTCAAGGATATGCGGGTGAAGCGCTGACGTGGCCTCAAATGGCTAGCGAGGGGTCCAAACTTTACGTTGGTGGTGTTGCCTCTGAAGCAACAGACCATTTGAGAACAGACTTCGGTGAGGAGCTCAGTTCCGGGCTACGACCGGTACCGCCCAAACGTCTTTCGTTGCTTCAAGTGTTGAGCATAAGTATTACGTCTTCCTTCCCTGCTGACCTGGATCATGTGCGGCCCGACCACAACGGCCGCCCGCGGGCGCTGCACGTACAGCATGACGCAGAAGCAGGCGCCCTCCGCGGCCGCGTCCGCGAGGTCGCGCGCGGACAGCATGCAGCGGCCCAGGACGTCCGTCAGCTCCGCGTATTCCGCCCGGAAGTGGTCGACGTCCAGGGTACGCACCACCTCCTGCGGAAACCTCAGAAAAGGGTTTGCTCAACAGCCAATCAGGGACAAACTTGCGCGGATCTATTTCTGCTTACTACTGGGAGAGCAAGCTTGGTCGTGCGGAGCTTCGAGCACATTGCTCATGTTACGAGAAAAGCGAAGTGACCGCGAAGTGCCAAATATGCATCAAATGAACGATAACGGAACGCCGGAAAGAGGAAGAAAGAGGGAAAACGCAAGCCAAGAATGAATGAAGGGTTACCCCTGATTTAATTCAACTTTATGAAAGCAGATTGAGTCCTCCGCTTGCCGCTCCAAAACTCAACAGCTTCCCGGCCTTGAATGTACTTTGTTCCGATCATCATATCTAGTAGAAGTCTTCCTGATCACACGACATGACACAGCCGTTGCTGGCAGCTTCCGACCGACCGTATCTGAGTACAATATTTAACCGTTCAACGTTCCGCTTTTCCGTGAATGAAACAAAACTCCCACAGCTACTCACATCGACCTTCCCCTGCACGTCGTCTAGCAGGTCCACGTTTTCCAGCACCCTCTTGTTCAGCGCGCGCGCGAGGCGCGCGCTCCCGCGCAGGTCGTACGCCATGCTGGAGATCTGCGCGGCCTGCCCGCTTCGCAGGCCCTGCTTCTTCGCGGCGACCACCTGGGCCAGAAGACTGTCCAGGGTCGCCCTCAGCTCCACGAGCCGGGCGTGAACCCGCTGCTTCTGGCGGCGCGGCGCGTCCTTCAGCGCGCGGCTGCGCTCCATCTCGAGGGAGGCGCCGAGCTCCTGGGAGCAAAGGGAAGCTTTCCGTTGAAAAACGTCAGGTGGATGAACATTTTGGACGCGAACTTCTGATCAAAAGGAAAGTGCTGCTACTGCTGCGTGATTATGGAACCGGAAGGCAATTACCAGCTGGCGCCTAGTCTCTTTGACCGAAAGCAGACTCAAACCCGCTCAATCATTGACCGCCAGCTTGTTGCGAGGGCTGATGACGTGAATCAGACGTGAGCCACCCATCTGCGGGAACCCGCAGATTTGACGTAACCGCACCCGGCCCAGCAGTAAGACGGAACTGTAGCAAGTTCTTGTCCATCATCCAATCCTCAACTGCTACCTCATTCCGTCACTGTCTTTCCAAAATGATCTGAATCCTTCCCCTCACCTCCAGCCTGGCTTGCGTTGCCTCGATGGTGACCTCGTCCTGGTTCTGGCTCAGCAACTGCGTCGCCGCGACCGCGTCCGCACAGATTTGTGCCACCACTAGTTCGGACGCCGCCTCCGCGCCCGCGGTTTCCGCTGACGTCACGTCGACGCATCTCTCGGCTGTCGAGTCGCCCATCTGGACGACCAAGCTCTCGATGGGGTCCGCCGGATTGTACAGCGCCATTGCTCGGAACGTGGCGCACCCGGCGGCAGAGTCGAGGGGCTCCAGAGTAAGACGCTGCCACTTGCCACTGCAGTGAAAGAAAGCGACTATCTCGGTCAGAAGGTCATCAACGTTCAAGTACGGTTGAAAAGATGCTTCGGGAAAACAGTCTTTGAGTGTTCATCCAGAAGAGCAGATTGCAAGATTTGCATCAACGGTGACGGGTCGAAGCTGGGTCCGTTCAACGGTCTCGTTTCATTTCTGACCATTGCAATCATTTCATGCCTCCAAGCTTTAAAGAACTCATGCTGAACTAAAGACAAAACAAAGTCCTAGGGTTCTCACCGATCTCCTTAGTCACTCAAGCTTTGCCAGTCTTCAAGCAGACGAAACGAGTAACTTTATAACTTCGTTATAAGCAGTCTCAAAGTCCGTCGACCTTCAAGCATTAGCGGACCCTACCTGGCCAGGTGGAGTAACGCGGCCAGTCCGCTGCCCAGCTGTCCGGCGACCTTCTTCAGCGCGCCCCTCATGTCCGACGCGCTCGCAATGTAGATGAAGGCGCCTTCCTCGGTTCCCGCTGCGGCCAGCCCGGCCATCAGCCGGTGGTCGTGGGCCGGAGTGAAGCCCAGAGCAAAGATCTGCACCGAACACCGACCGGCATAGTTACCAGGCAGGACGGTTCAGAGGCCGTCTTGAAAGTCAATCACCGTTTCCTTTGGGCAGCCTGCATGCGAGATCTCTCGTTCTGGTCCGAAAACTTAATTGGGAAGAGACGGATGGAAATGCTGCTCACAACCGGATGCGAGCCACGGTCAGTCTTAAGATCGTGAGGTATTTCCGTGTAGCAATCGAATTTAGGTTTTCAAGGCAAATTGGTCGTCAGCGCATGGCCAAGTCCGCAAGAATCGTGAATCGAGACGAGCTCTTGTATTCTACACACATTTAGGTCGGCTATCTCAACTACAAACCAGATGCTTTGCGAACTAAACGGTCAAACCGCCCGAACATTCTATTAGTAGGTTGCATCAGGAAAACGATGTTATGCTTCTTAAAACGCAAGGTCCGCTCGTTTTCGTCTTTATTGCAAAAGCGGTGCTCTTGCAACCGACCTGGCACGAAGTCAAGGTTTCCTTCACGAAGCCGTTGAACTTCTCCATCCTTCGGTGGACCTCTGAGTCGCTCCCCCGGGTGTGGCATCCGTCCGTGAGCCACACGATAAGCAGGGACTTTCCCGCGCACGCGCTCGCGCACAAACGCTCAATGTAGTCGAAGCACGCGAGAAAGTCGGTCATTCCGCCGACGTTGAGGCGGCCGATAGGATAAGTGTCGCCCTTGGTTAGAGGGACCTCCTGAACCTGCGGACGTCAGGAGGGACACACTGAAGTCTGAGATGTGAACAGAATATTCCAACTGCCTTTTTCGGACTCCTTTCAGCGAGATTATGAAGGGTGCGAGGAGTTGAGACTTCTCGGAACAGCATTATACATGATTCACTCTGGCCGTCTCTGTCGGGTGCACTCTTCGCTCAATTTTTACAGCGAGAGGGAGAGGGCCGTTAGAAGTCAGACCCTTTCAAAGCAGCACCGTTGCACGGTTGAGATCTGGCTGCAAGCTCTGGTCGTGGTTAAAAAGTAGGCTTTGAAAGAGGTTTAGACCTTACCTTGTCGTCATACGCGCCAAAGTGGATGCTCTCAATGCCAGCTTCCCACAGTTGCTTCAGAAGGGCTTCGCATCCGTCCTTCGCTTGCTGCAGAGATACCACGAACTTGGGCTCAGCTCCTAAGAATACGCCATAAGCGCTGTTTGTAGACTGACGGATTGGGACTTTTCCGTCAGTCAGCTTTGTTCAGACATCGAGTGATTGTCAGCACCCACAGAGGATTTGAATCCTGCACAAACGGTTTGTTCACAGAGGCAACTATACGCCACTTTCGAGCTCCACGTTGAAGCGCAAAACCAACAACGAGCTTTCAAATAGGATCCACTCAAGCGCTTCCAGATCCTTTAGTCTTAGACGAGCAAGAGACGGTATTGGACCATGTGCGTGTAAGGATACTATTTGACTCTGCTGAACAAATTGCAAACCATGCATCTTCAGGTGAAACTTGACCAGAGCAAGCCCACCCGAAGTTTTCTTGAGACTTTTGATTTTCAATGCATATGACCTAGATCTGAGTTGAGTGAGCCCATGCAGTGCCAACCCAGGGAAGCTCGCTGCAGCGCTAGACTTCTGAGTGGATCCTCTGCAACCCTATCTTTGAAAAGATTCCGGAGTCACACTGTGTGACATCTTCAGCCCTGCCATCAGTGAGTGTGCCATTCTCATCATGAGGAGAATTAGGGGAGAATGGCAACCCAGTTGAACAAACCGTTACGATTCAAGACATGCCAGCAGATCTCAACGAGCTCGACAGTATCTCGAGGAGTTCCTTGAAAGAAAGGAGATAGCGCGCAGCCCATGAATCTTCAGAATGATCGAAAGATGAACCGATAAAACTCACCTCAAATGCCGAGCCTGACATCGAGCCGCTCTTGTCAAGCAGCACGATAGCATGCCGCTCCGCTCCCACCTTGCCATACGCTGTCTTCGAATCCCCAATTGCCACTTGGATGTCCAGTAACTTTTGTCCAAGCGAGCCCCAGTCGGTGGCGGCCAGCTTGGTTACACTTACGGCAGGAGCCATCGCGCCGGTGGCGTGCCTACACTCTTTGAGTGTTGTACCTAAAAGCTGTGATCAAAAGTAAAGAAGAGACTTGGAATTCTTGAATGTGCGCTTGACAGTTGCAAAACGGTGTTTGTTTAGGACTAGCAGCGGACCAGTTGACTTCGGAGTCCTCTCCAGGATCTGGACTGAAGGCCAGGATGAAAAGGAGCTGGTGACGTTGTAGTGACCCATTTCGGCCTCATCTTTGCCGGAAGAACGGAGAGGGCACTCTACACTGCTTTTAAGATTAGCTGTTAGCTACAGCTGAGTCACATTTAGAGGGAGCCCCCTATCGAATGACGAACGGTGACGTTCTGCAGTGCAATGCACTGCCGGTGCGGCATGATCTCTTTGGATTACCGTATGCGGTCGGCTGGTCGGCGGCCGCGCGGAGAGCCTATTTATAAGCGAGCGCCCCCGGCCGCGGAGCGATGGACCTCACTATCGGACGGTTGTCAGAGGTCGATAGATATTCAGATGGATCGAGCGACTGCCAAGTGGCACTTTCTGAGCCTGTTTGAGATCCACTTGGCGCGGTTGACACAGCCGGCCTGTGAATGGGGCATGACCTCTCTGCGCTGGTGTTGCATGCACCCCTTTGCACGGCTTGCCTCTGACCAAAAGCATGTGCCTTGCTCCTCCAACAGCTCAAGTTCTCCCTCTTCCCTTCTCATTCAGAGGCGCCATTCCCAGAGGAAGCTGACATAGAGCGCCATTGTAGCAAGGTAAAGGATAAGAAAGCTCTCTGGCTGAAGTCACTATTTGAGGAACACCACCATCGAGTTCTAGTGCTCCTTGTGAGGGAATTGCCAAAGGTTGCAACTTTGCAGATTTCACCTCGCGCTAGTGCTGCCAGGTACTCCGGTGTTGAAGAAGTTCTGATTACAGTCTTGAGACTTTGCAACGATGTCGGGAGCTTCACTTGCTGCTGGGGACACCATTGAAGATGAGAAGTATGGAAACATCAGGGCTGACGAGAAGCCGGCAAAGGAGGGCACTTTCATGGACATGCTGGTCAAGCCTTTGAGAACCCCACTGACTCTCATTCACACGCAGCTCATCTGCTTCTCGGCTGTGCTGGTAGCAAGCGGGGCCGTGCCAATTCCCACTCTTCTGTTTCCGCTGCTTGCGACTCTCTACATAGTCCTCATGGCAGTGCTGATTTTCACGCCTGTCGATTCAAAGAGACCCCCGGCCAAGCTGTTTGATGGAGACAAGCGGTTTGAGATATACACCGTCTTCGAGACAATCATAGCGCTGATCCTTCCTGTTGGTAAGTGGCTTGGACTTAAGTTGCTCATTCATAGATGATGGTTACAAAGGAACTGAGCCATGAGCTGTGCTTGTCTTGCTAGGTTGACATGATCTTTTGTAAGTTGGTTACATGCGTAGGGCTGCTTTCGCTTGCGAAATCAGTCGGCTGCTCCAAGATTTTGTGATGTTTTAGGTGCTGGCATAGGTTGCCATGCATGTTAGCAAATCTTGAGGACCATAGAGCATTTGCGCGTACACTTGAATAATAGTTTTGACTTTTGCAAATGAGTCACTCTGTGGTGATCGTAGGAAAGCTCATTTGAACGCGGTAATTGCAGGGTACATTCTGGGTGCATTTGTTAGAGGAGATTCGAAAGCTGTCGCTGCTGCTGCCCCTCACATGTACCTGCTCAGCAGCCAGATCTTGGTAAGGCTCACCCTAGTGTGAAGCATGGACACCTTGTTCAAACAATTCCCAAAGTGATAATAACTGGAGCTTGGGAGTGGTCCACACTGTCGTTTGAAGCGCTCTGACATACGGGCTTTGTTTGAGGCGCATTGACCAGATTCAGGAGTATGTTCTTGAGCTCTGTGAGACAAAATGCACCAATAATCTTGATAATCTTTCAGTTTGTGGTAGTGGCTCTTATTTGCCTGGGCAGAGCGCTGGGTACACTTGCAAGTCCATTCTGGTGATCTGCAATTCCTCTGTTCTCTGGCATGAAGACCTGCTCAATGTGTCTAAGTGTCGGCCTATGCAACATGTTTCATAATGTTGGTTTGCTCGATCATATTGGATTCTTGCGAAATCTGCTACTTGCAAAGATTGCCCGAAGCAATGACCAATTGAGACGATAAAGAGCAGCGTACCTGTTCAAAGTAGCGAGCGCATTTGTTGACTACCCGTCTGCTCTTTCTGATCCACTTCCTGTTATTGCTGCAGACTGAGAACTTGGCCAAAGCCATGGGCTCTCACATCTCCCTGCCGATCCGCGCGCTCGTCCCTGTCCTCTACAACTCCGCCCGGCTGCCCTCTCTCATGAACTGGGCCAGGGAGGCATTCCGTCGGGTGCCTGTGGCCATTGGAACCGACCACCTTCATAAGATGGAGAAACTGGCAAAGATGACCGTCCTGGGGGGCCGGTTGAGAGACGCTGGCTGGGCCTGGTTTGGCAGGGGATTGGCTGCGCTAAACCTGGTGTTCTGGACCGCAAACCTGTTCTTCTTCCTGGTGCCCCTATTTGTCCCCCGGGCTATGAAGGCGCACTTCTTGGCGGAGAGTGAGGCGGGCGCCAAGCCAAGCGTGGTCCTGCCGAAGCAGTTGCACGAACAGGAGAAAGCGCAAGAGCGGATGATGTCTCCAGAGGACAAGGCGAAGGCGGCATAAGGAATGATAAGACAGAAATTGAGCTTCTGATGAAGATGTCGAGGCATAGAGCTTGCCAGTGCAGCTGAATGATAAATATTTTGGTTGCAATGGGTGTAGTCAATCCTGTACTATACAACTAGGACGGTCATGCACTTTGAAGCGTGCTTAGAAGGTTTCTTGGCTGCGAGATCAAGGAATATGCATCGGTCGATCTCTGCTGAATCTTGTTGCAATCGCTCGATGTTAATGTTAGGCTTACTTTGTTGGGTCGGAACCATGATTGATAATCATTAAGCACGGAGTTTTTATCATGTATGCAGCCGAAGTGTTGAGATGGAAATTGTTATGATGGACTGGAAGCATTCAGCGCACAGTAACACGTGCTTTCATGGTCTAGCTAGCTGTAGTGACCATGCATCCTTGACGTAGAAGTTTCCTTGCAACCACTGAAACGGATGCATGCACGCTTTGGAGTTTGAGCCAACCGCAATCATGGTTGAAGCATCGACCGGCTTTTAAACCCACCATTGCTAAAATAAGCTACTGTATAGAAGAACCGCCTACAGTATACAGATGGTTAAAGACGAGCTAGAATCATATTGCACATACCTACATATCACTTCCAACTTGTATATGGCCGTACGCTATCAGTTATCAGATAAGTATAGTCAGTCACATGAGCTCCCTATTTCATGATGTAGTATAGCATGTAACTTTGATCCGAGCTAGCTATAGTTCGGCTATTGAAACATAGTAGACAATAAACCATGATTCGAAATCATTCAGATTCATCATGAACTTTGAGTCACCCGGGCACGTCACTCTGTCATAGCGGCAGCCGCGCCATGAGAGCTATACCTGGCGAAGACCCCCCCGCCCTTGCATGCGCGGCGGCGGCCCATGCCTATAGACTGACATGTTGAGAAGATGACGCAAGCAATCCCCATCCAGATTCCTTCATTTTTCGGGAACGATTGCTAAGTGCACTGCATGCATGGGCAAATTTGTCATTGATATGCTGGCACTTGCCGAGCCGGTGAAAGATATCATAACGATAAGGTCCAACCGGCCATGCCCACCCGTCTCTGGGCCGGGGTTTGTCCCACGCCCGTCATGTGTGGAAATAAAGTACAGTCTAAGGGATGAGTCCGTCATCCTATATGCACTTCGAGGCCGGGCCCATGGTCATTGATCATGAAGAGCTGGTTAAGTCAACATTCAATGGGCTCAAAGATCCACATGCATCCGTATTTTGGTATAGAAAGTGTAAAGATGATCTGCCTGCCGTTCGATCACTGCAATTGTACAGTGCATGCAAAACGTTGCGGTCTTGAAAGATGAATCTAGCTCGGTGGCCGGCTAATTGAACGTAAGGCTCAATCGTCTGGGGTATCATAACCGGGACACTGGCTCGTTTAACTTGCGCAAGTGGTGCGTGCCATCGCCTCATAAACTCAACTCTTCGTGTTGGATGTTTTGGCCCGATAAATTATATCTCCTCGTCGCTGCTTCATACTCCTACCAAAGGTCTTTCTGCTTAGACAGCGCGTGTTCCGACAATAGTCTAATTCTCCAACGACTTAAGATACTGGCGTGCATTCCAACATGTAGCAGTGGCAGCGACCTGTTTCTACTCCCTTTACAGCACGACCCATTGGCTGTAAGGGGACCACGACCTACAATGTGATCTTGTAAGTGCAAGAATTATCCACGAGAGTTACATTCCTGAAGTTCGGAGAGTCGGGGTTTACAGTGATGTTGCAGGAGATCCTTGCCTGCAAATTAACGAGTTGCCAATTAGCAAAAGAGTTCCATGATGGGCAGATAATCCACACCAAATGACTGCTACAAACCGCCGCCAGCTGCTGCAGCTTCAGCCGAATCTCCGCCTAGGTTTCGTCCGGAAGTTATGCACTTGCACCAGAACGCTTGCCTGACCAAAATCCAATCAAAACTATTGCATCGTTTGCCAGAGGCAGGACCAGACAAACCTCATTTGCCTTCTGCCTTCAGAGAAGGGGCCAAAGCAAATGCATTCCACCACTCTGGGCAAACACTACAAAGCATCTTCAGTGGCATTCCTCGTCACTTCTGCATACCTTTTCCAAGTCGTGCCATGCTCAGGCCCTGCACAACTTCACTCACTCGTTTCCAGCAGAGTCCACCATCTCCAAAAACGTGAATAAAACTCGAGAACGAGGATGGCGATTGGGCGAACTGGAAAGTAAGAACTAACCTGGAACTCGTGCCCAAAGGTCCCCAGAACGCTAAACCTGCCCGGAACGAAGGTGTTGACAGTCAGCGGCACCCTGTTGCGGCTCAGGTCCGAAGACAAGTCCCTTAGTTTCGAGATGACGTTGAAGTCCCGACCGATCGCCGACAGCGCAATATCCCGGTTGCTTCGGGCGGGTATGTGTCCTTCCTTTACCGGAACCGTTGCGAGCGTCGTATTCCGGTACAAGATATATGCACTGGTGTTGTAGTACGTTAGGGCGAAGTAGTTCGGGTTGTCCAAACTCAGCGTTCCACTCACGTTGAAAGTGAGCGTGGCTTTTGGGGGTAGGGGAGTGATATTTGGCCTCAGTTGGTGCACTTTGAGATTGTTAAACTTGACACCCGGCTCCTTGGGCCGGAACAAAAGGTACCCTATCAGCGCCAAAATTCCTAAGAGGAGAACGAATATGAGGCAGCATGCGCCCCCACATAACAAGGCACGCCGGTGGTGCTGCACGCAACCCCGGCTCTTCTTTTCGGGGACCCCCCTTTCATCCTCGATCCCGTCAAAGGTGCCCAGCCCCCCCTTGGAGTCGTCCACCGAATCCTCTCGGTTATGTTTGAACCCGTTTTCTAGTGCTGTGCCCGCACGACCGTTCTCGTCCTTCTCTTGATCTTCTCCTGTAGCTGTGTCCGGGTCCGCATTCTCCTCCCGCTCGTCTCGATCTTCCTCGCCCCCGAAACGTGATGCATCCACCTCTAGCTTCTCAAGCCGCTTGCCCACTTCGAGGTCGTCTGTCGGGCTGTCAAGGTCGCCTGCAGAATGAACAAGCGGAACGCTCAATATGTGCAAACAAGTTGTGGCCTCGGTGGAACCCACAAAAAGGCAATTATACTGAATGTGAACGAGTCAATTGAGTAAGCGACTCAATCTGGTGGAGAAAGAGAAAGGAGCTCATCAGAAGCAAGATGCTCACATGGCGCTTCTTCAACCGGTGGGTTACTGTTTTGTCAAGTCATGGTCACATTAAAACAAATCTAGGTTGGAACCATGGATGTAGCAGCACAAACACCCCATAGACACAGTCTTGTTGTCCTTCGATTCATTTCTAGCATAACCAGATTACAATCAGAAGCAGCCAAAGCAAGTCTTTCAAAGTTGTTGTGGAGCTTGCATCAGTAATTGAGGTGGCTTCTCCATTGCGCAAACACAGGACAGACGATTGAGGAGTGAATTGATCAATCATTTTGGCAAATGACGAAAGTACTGCTTTTCAGAGCGGGTCCGCCTGGTCAAATACCAAAAGAAGTTTTGTCAGAACCATCACTCCTTGTTGTATACTGTTCCAAGTCCTTGGATACTGTAGCAGTCAGAGCCTTTAATCCAGGGCTCAAAATACCCTCTGACGCCATCTACTTCTGCTTGCGGCACACTAAGATAAGCCAGGACTGTGTAGACAATCGGCAACACCAAGGGAAGAGGTGGAACAACTTCCCTTTAAGAAGCCCGGAAACCTTTTTCTAACTTTTTCTGGGACACATTTCCACAGCCCAGAGTTGCCCGTCGTTCCTTTCTCTTAAAGACACAATGAACCTGGCATGTTCCACCTCTCTACTAAAATCGAAGGAAAGTACAAATCTACAAAAGCAGGGACACCAAAGTGTTTAAAATAAGCTTTGGCCAGCACGGGTCACACCCGTCAAGATCCCAACAAGCTTTGCCGAGCTTTGCTCTGCAGAGTGCCATGAAAATCTGGAAATGACAACATCATCCCAGATTGGTGGTACAGGAATGTGTTGGAAAATGAGGGTGTGCGCAATGCGGGCTCTAAAAACTCACCAGGAAGAGACGACTCTTCCATCTTGCGGCTGGACTTTCCCAGCGCCATGTACCCCATTGTGTTGTTGAAAGACGGCCTGGCCTTCAGAGGCGGGGGCTTCTTCTTAGTAGGCTGTCTTATCGGTGGGCCTTTTCTAGTTGTCTGCTCTGAGGTAGACGTGTGCTCACCAAGACGTCTGACTGATTCACTGGCGTCGAACCCCTCTTTGACTTCCCACATTTGCCTCCCAAAGCAGCGAATAGCTGTGCTCTTGCTCCGCTACAAACATTGCAAGCAGCTTCCGGTGAAGAGGATCTTCCAGAATTCTTCAGAGGACGCCTCTCCTCCCATTTTGGCTCCTCTAGCTACCTCAAATTGAAAGCGAGGATGGTCATCGTGCGCTGATGTACGGTACCCTTCAATAGCGTCATCCGAACTTGAAGTTGAAGTCTGAGCTCTTGAAGCAGCCTCAGGGCGGTCCCCCTGCGCAACTTGCTCCTACAATGTGGGACTGAGAAGACCATGTAATTCGACCGTCGATGGAAGCTCTGGCGATGACAACCCTCCGATCCGCATAAAGCATGCTGCACACAAGGACTACAGAACTACACACCGTCGAACAACTCTGCAACATTCGCCATCGTCGATTACAATAAAGTTGCTTCAAGTTACGCGTCAGCAAATGGCGCCCAATTTGTGAGCTGCTCTCCCACAGTCTCAGACTGCAAACTTGCAACTTGACGAAAGCGGCCTATCACTTTTGAAAGCGCTTTAGCTTTTACAGGCTTTAGGGGAGTTGTGTAGCTAGGTGGCAGCCCTTTCCACTTTTCAAGAGAGAAACTACCTTATAAGTCAGGCAATATGGCGACGAGTACATGTCTCAGGAGCACGGTCGGCACGGGCCTCTGTAGCGCTTCTGTTTTCGCTTCTGAAAAAACCTTGACTACCAACACATGTACAAACAGATCAGCGGTGTGCAATTTTATTGGGCTTGAACAACGTGGGAAGGCAGTTGCGGGATTGTTTCTTGCAAGGAAAGGCTTCCAAAGCTTGGGAGTGTGCAGAACGAACGGACACTCAAGGAGGGGTTTGAGAGTCCAATCTATGTCCGAGGATAGTCCTCTCCCCTCTCAGATGAATGTGGAGGACGCTCTCAAGTTGTTTGGAGTGGCAGAAAACGCGTCCTTTGATGAGATCATCAAGGTCAGAAGGGACCTTGTTGCGCGCTTTGAAGGCGACATGGAGAAGCTGGCGGAGGTAAGGGAAAAAGAAACTCTCACTCGATTGTTCGTCTATAATCGTCTGAGCTGCAAAGTGAGGCCAGTAACCTGCCCTTGATTGGATGGATATACGGACAGTAGAGTCTGCTTCACGTCCTCATAAAGATTGCTCATGGTCACAGCGTGAGAATTGCAAACAAGGGCTTTCCTGATGATCATGAAGTGCTCATTTGCGATGCTGCGTGGGACATGCTTTCTTATGCTATCCAGTTTTAAGAAAGTGTGACTGAAGGGACGGTTTTATGATATTTCCGGAACAAGACCGCTGTGATGGTGTCCAATTGCACAGACTATTTTCAAGTTGCAAGAAGTTTGCACATCGAAGTTCGAATATCCTGCCCGGCTTCACCTTCGATCTTGATTTGTAATGTTTGCTTGTGATAGCTGCAGGACCAAACTTGACATCGATGAAATACAGAAACATTCAGACGAGCTGCTTGCTTGTTACAGCTCTTCGGTGTACCTCACATGGGGCACCTACCCAGATCTTGTAAACACGGATGATGAAGCAGGACTTTGTGGTCGGCAATTGAAAGTGGCGACTCAGTTGGGGGTCTGGAGGAAAGGTTCAGCGTGTTTCTAGAAGTTGCTTAGTAGATAGGATGGAACGTAGGGCTCTTCGGATCTGCGTGTCTAATTTTCTGCTGGATTCTGCTCTGTATAGGGAGTGTGCTGGAAAGAAGAGCGCAGATTCTATTCTGCATAGCAATTGACGAGCCCTGCAAGATCGAAAATGGATGCAAAGAAACAACTGGAGTGTACGACATCATGGCTTTCCCTCGACAGCTCTCCCTAACCACGGGCAATTGCCTGTTCAAACAGGTTGATGAGGCGTATGACATCCTCCTCATGAAGAGCTTCTCAAGGAGGAAGGCGGGCCAAGTGAGCGAGGAGGGCATCCGTTTTGCTGACGTCAGGAAGGCCCGCCCCGCTAACCTCACCCCAGCGTGGCTGAAGTCAGCCCTATCCAAGGTCGCCGTCTCAGTTGAAACGCCCGACAGCAAAACCCTGGCAACTGAAGCTGCAGTGTTTGGGGTTCTGGCTGCGTGGACTTTTGCGGGGGGGCTTGCGCAGGGGGGAGATCTGACCCCCGTTTCGTCGGGTGGGGACGTACCAGGGCTGCAGCTGGCGCTCGCTTTGGGGGCAGCGTTTTACTTCCTGCAGAAGGAGAGGGTCAAAGCTGGTGAGGATCTGCTGTTGTTGTTTTGTTGATTTGTTGATTCACATTGTTATCTTGATACTATGATACATGACATTGTGTGTTCATGCGAGGAGAGCTGTTGACTCCGTCAAGCCCTTTTCCCTCCGCCCCATCATATCGGAGGGGCCGAAATAGTTGGTACATAAAAACCTTGGCAGCTGCTATGAGTATTGTGCTCTTCCTTGAAATACTATCTGGATTGGCTCTTCCAAAGTGAATAAAGTGTTTTCCTCTGGGCTCCCTAGTTTGCTGGTATTTCGTGTTCTCATCCCGCTTGTATTTTCGAAGCAGGAGACTGGGCTATTTTTCCCAAATTATATAATAGAGCTTGCTTGCAGGTAGACCCTTATAGACGGTGTTCCGCAGCAGATAACTCAAAAGGGGCCGCACAATAACACCCATATGTCTTCCATTTGTGCAGTCAAGGCGGGGTTGATCACTGTTGGGGGCATGGCGACTGGATCCATTGTGGGCGGTCTTATTGAGGCATGGCTCCGGGTGGACATCGTACCCGTTTTGGGCATCGACTCGCCCGCAGTGGTCGTCAGCGAGTTCGTACTTGTGGCCCTGTTTCTTACAACAGCATATGTGCGGTGAGGGGTTGGCTCGAAGAAAAGTTTCAAGGTCTGAAAGTCTTCACAGGGCAGCCATGTTAGATACAACTTACGTTCAGCAGTTTGCTCTCTTTGCTCGAGGGCAGATTGGGCTCTAAGCTTTGTGTGTTGAGACTAAGACTTTCAAGAAAGTCAGGAGCTGAAGGTCTAGTGGCTAGGCGTAGCTTCTGTATATCGCAGCCTAATGCTAGGCGACTGTAAATCTGTACATGACCTTAGGTGCTGCACATATGCTCTGGGAGCGCTAGGACGATTGCATGGATTCCCCGACCTGTACAGATTGCCGAATATCTTGCAAGCAAGTTGATGAATTAGGTTGGTTCGTTGCTTGCAAGGAGTGAGGTTTTCGCTTGGTGTCATATTAAAAAGGATGTACAAACGTTGAGGTCCAATGCAAGGCTTCCTTCATGGTGGCAGCCAGGCCTCTGTCCCGACACTCGTCTGAATTGGTCACTGGACTCCGTCATTTGAGTACTGGGCATAGATGTGTTCAAGTTGGCCGCGAATTGCTGGATAGCTCGCGCATTCCCTGTTGTATGTGCACTCTTATGTATCCTTACGAACATTCACAAATATGCAGAACGAATTATTGTGAATCAGCTAGTGTAATATATCCTAGAATGTTATGA